TGTTTCTTTCTCTCTCTTTCTGTTACTTTCTCTCTCTTTCTGTTTCTCTCTCTCTCTTTTTCTTTCTCTCGCTCTCTCTTTCTTTTGCTCTCTCTTTCTGTTTCTTTCTCTCTGTCTCTCTCTTTCTCTGTCTCTCTGTGTATGTTAAGTCTTTGTTAGAATTGATCTGCACTTATCAGTCCGGTTTACTTGGTGATTCATTGACATGCAGATTCCACAAATGCCAAAGTCAACAGAATGAACATCATTCAAAGCAGAAATAATCAGATCCATAAGATAACTAAGATAACATTCATTCTTCATTCACTACATCCTGTGACATTGAATCAGATTGGTGTCAGTGTCCACCTGATGTCAAAACCTGTTATCTTCTAGTTTCTAGTTGTTGTCTATAAATTAATAACGCATTATTATCTCTATGAGTTATTGGTGTCAGTTATAGATTAATAATTTAGTTAAAGTTCAGCTCCAGATGTCTTAAGACACTCATACTAGTGGTGCAAATCATATGCTTTACTAAAGCATGACTGGTGATGAATGCATGAATTATTGTAGGCTGTGTTATGAATTTCTCTCCATTAACAAAGTAATTAAGGAATGGTAATTCACAGTTTCTTACAGTAATTTATATGTGACCAGCTGGATTTCAGTTGTATAAAACTTTCAGAACCATGTATTTTCTCAGCCTCTGTGAAAGCAAAACAATACCGATTCTCATAGAAATATCTATAAATATTAATAATTAATACCATTGGGTCATACGGCAACATGTAAAAGTTTGCAACCAGTTTGATATAAAAAAAAGCTTCATATTTCAGTGAGAATATGTGATGCGCTTTCAGGGAGGCTGAGGAAATGCATGGGTCTGAAATTACTTTTTATGTAACTGGATTCCAGCTAATTTGGTCGTAAATCAATTAATGTATAAAGTAACTGAATTACCATTAATTTGTTAATTGAGAGGAATTAATTATAGAGCCTGCATTCATTCATGCATTAAATCATCATCGTGTAATGCATTACTTAAATGTATGATACCCGTATAAGAAAGTGTCTGAGAAATGCTGCTTGTGTCCAGTAACTGTGATTGTTCCTCAACCTACACAAAGGAAATGAAATGGACAAAACTGAAACAAGCACACATTTGAGCAACTGATCAGTTTCTTTATTTTCAGTGTGTATGTTACATGATGGATCATGCTTTATTAATTAAACCCTCAGTACAATCTGTTAAACAGCTGTATCACTTGGATATTTTCACTATGAGACAGTGAGGACAGCGGTGTATTATTATTATTATTATGGTGTATTATCTGTTTATAGTCTTTAACTTGTGGGCGTGAGCAAATTGTAAACAGACTTTCCTGCCATCTGTCAGCTCATAGCTCTGATGTGTACTCACCTTACAGCTGCACTAATAAATAGTTTAATATTGACAATGGATTGAATTGACTATGTGTAATGTGAAAGGTGTCACTCTCACGGATATGATGGCTCAACTTTGCAGTTTCCCCTTTTTCTATGGGGAGTTTTACAATCTTTGTATGAATGCGTCAGGCAACCAGAGAAACGACTCCAAGTGAATGCTAATGTTGCTCTGTGTCTGCTGCATGTGTAGATAGGCATCTGTCTGCTAACATGTTAGCTTCATTAGATTGTAATGACATTATTGTGTTTTCAGCTATTGTTTCGCAGCCCAGGTGGCAAAAATTAAATCAATACAGCTTTAACTAAACAGAAGGTGCGCTTTTGTCATGTTTGAATATTAGAAAGTCTTCCATTTGGTAGCATGTACAACAAAAATATAGAATTAGTTTTATTTTGCAATGTGTCCATTTCTTCCTTGATCCACACAATGTTGACAATACATACAAATAAAAAGAGGAATAAAAAGAAAAACTACCACTTTTATGAATTTTGAAGCGTGAATGCATTGAGAGGCAATATGCTCTGAATTTAATGTTTAGAAACTTTAAAAGTTAACATTGAGGCAACAAAATGATCTACATGGAAACCTGTCAGGTAACATTTTGTCATCTGTCAGGTGTTATTCACACACAGGCTTTCTGTTAATATATCGAATACAGCCAGTGGTGGAAGTACATTTACTCAAGTACTGTGCTTCAGTACACTTTTGAGGTACCTAACCTGAGTATTTCCATTTTACGTTGCTTTATACTTCTACTTTATTACATTTATTTGATAACTTTAGTCACTCGTAACTTTGCAGATTATTAACATAATGACATAATGTTATTAAGCCACACACGAAGTAGCCCAAATGTAACCCCACCTTTACCAGCTGCTACATTAGTGATGCTTACATATCTTTATAATCCAGTGGTATTATAGGCTATATATTATTCCGACATTGGACCACTCTGTATGATGAGTGCTTTTACATTAGGTAATTAAGGCACATTGTGATGCTAATAATTTTGTACTTTTTAGTTTGAAATCATGACTTGTAATAGAGTATTTGTACACGGTGGTACTGCAGCCTTACTTCTCATATAGTATCTGAGAGGATCAAACCTCTGTTTATTCTGCCGCCATTATGAAATATACGAAATTAAATAAAAACAGTTTCTCTTCTGGACACATGAAACAACATTTCCCACAGTGCTTCAGGAGCAGGGCTTTGGCCTGTACCAGAGTCCACGTGCACCGGGGTGTGGCCCACACATGCGCACACTCACGCGCGCGCACCAGAGAGTTTACTCGAGTGGGATTCTGGCGTCAGCCCTTCTTCTCTTCCTCTCTTCTCTCTCAGCCGGGTGTATCTTTCTGCTCTCCGAGCTTCATCTGACTGCTGCTACTCAGCGGTAAGTTTCACCGGAGCAGTTTATTTATTATTTGTATTAACTCGCTTTACCTTCCAGATAAAAGTTCAGCAGCATCAGACAGGTAAGCGGGGACAGTCTGGGTCTACCTGCAGACACAAGAGAGACAGGTCTGCGGAAGTTTGATAGCTCGGCGACACTAAAACCGAGAAGAGATGGCACAGACACCGTTAAATAACCAGAATAAGAAGTGAATTGCAGATGTTCAAAGTAAATACATCTGGTTCTCAGAGAGAGAGAGAGAGAGAGAGAGAGAGAGAGAGAGAGAGAGAGAGAGAGAGAGTGTGTGTTTGGTATATATTCCGTCGCTAAATACCGTTTTTCCTCTCCAACAGATCTTCTTCCGCAGAATAAATATCCAAGACTGACAAAATGGTGAGTCATGTTTACTTTACATACTTTTATAGCTGTGAATTTAAAGAAACACATTAGGCACATTTTATATTAAAAGGATGATTACAATAACACAAAATCCGTTATTTATGCAAATATGTGAGGCATACAATGTTCTGGACTCCAAGACAACGCCCACTTTTATCAACATTATGTAATACTTAGATTCTTTTTAATCTTAAAGTAGGTTGTTAACATGAATTCACTGTTGATAAAATGTAAGATAACAATAAGTTCACACTAAGCTAGAAGTTATCAAATGAACACTTTCGCTGATGGCAGTTTATCAAGTTGTGTGTGTGTGTGTGTGTGTGTGTGTGTGTGTGTGTTAATACTTGTAGAGGTTCCATTTGGGGAAGTTGGGAAGTTTATTGTATGACTCATGTGGGCTCTATTCCACCCGGGTGGGTCTCTCGGTCTCTCCTCCTCCCTCTGTTTTAAATACACCCATTTCCACGTCTAGGCTGAAGTTTAAAGCCAACCTTCCTCTCTTAAAGGGGAAACTCTTTTTCTTCTGTCACGGTGGAGTGTTATCTTACCATAAAATATAAAAAACATGATCATAATCAGCTGTGATGATGTAACGCGCTGCTGCTCTCTGCAGACAGTTTATTGTGGGGCTATAAGCCCAACGTCGCCTCACAAAGTCAGTTTTCATGTGTCTTTCTTTGATTTGTGTCCAATTTGAGGATGAGACTGATCATAACAGACCAAAAGCAACAATATATTGATCTGATCATTAACAATAGCCCGATAGAGAGTATTCCTGACATGATCATGGGCACTGTAGTTTATTATGAGTCAGTCCCACATACTGTGCACACCCAAGTGCCCAAGAAATACAATATTTACTCCATTTATTTATATATATATATATATATATATATATATATATATATATATAAAAAACTGCGTCTAGAAATTTCCAGTAGATATGTGTTGTGTTGCTGATCTAAATATCTCATTGTTTGGCTGCATGTTGATTCGATTTTGTTGAGCTTGTGGTGACGAGTGTGTTTATGAGGAAGGAGAGCTCGTGGACATTTTGGCGTTCCTTCCTGCAGCAGAAGACAGAATCCTGGTTGTTAACAGCGACTTGTTTTTGGACGTGCTACAACTTTTTTTTTTTTTTTTTTTACTCCAGATTTCCAGGGTCAGAATTCCAGAGACATTCCCGCGGTTTTCCCCTCTAAACATCCCTCCCCCTGAAAAAAGAAGCCACCGCTTGGCTATCTTATTGTTAATGTTTAACAGTTTTAGGGAGTGCCTGGAATGAGTGCAGCTTTATTACAGAGAGAAGCCTCTATTACTAAAATCGACATTAAAGTTAATGTTTTTCCACCTTATCACATTCTCCCTGTCCTCAGTACCGATCGGTCTGTCTGTCTGAAACACTTTTTCCACATTCAGAGAAATGATTAGCCTGATAATCCATTACATTCGAATCTCTGGAGAACATGCTGTTCATGAAACGGAGGGCGATGTGGTGGCTTGTGTGCACCTCTGCATGTATTTTATGACGTCTGTAAGTCATTAAGTTCATCACGTGCGTCTGACAGTCTCTAATGAGCATACAGTATGCAAACAACAAATCAGAGACAGCGTTTTAAATGTACACTATGTACTCATGAATGTTAAGATTGAATAAGTGTGTTCTTTAATTTTAGTAACGGGGAGAAGGAGAAGAGTCTTTGATGACATGCATATTAAGAATCTGAGATGCGTAATCTTAAATCTGTTGTAAGCATAAATCTAGAGATCGATTAAGAATGTCCTGCCATGATGTAAAGGGGGAAATCCTTTGATAAAGTTATGCATATAAGGAATCTGAGTTAATATGTATGAATGTAAGCATGAAACTACAGATAGATTTAAGTGGGGCCTGAAAGGTTTATCTCTGATAAGAAGCCACAGCAGAAAGATGTTTCTTTTGATAAATATGTTTCTCTTCTGAAGTACCCGCTTGTTTACAGACACATTAATGCATAAATATTGTTGCTGCTCCAGTATCACACATGAAGAGACTTCTTCACATTTCACATCTACGTCGTGTTGGAAGCCACTGGGTACATTAACGAAGGATTTATTCATTGTTTTTTATTACTCAAAACAAGAAGAAGAAGATGTTGCCGTTGAAAGAACATTTGAATGCATTTAGACCTGAACTATAGAGGTGCAATACAAGTACAAGTGTCTATTTCGATATCAGCTGTGCTTCAAAGAGAAATAATTGATTTGAAACTTTGGAAAACCTACATCAGAATAATCCTCCTCTGTCCTTTTCTTCCACGTTGCAGGCCGGCAAAGGAACCGTCAAAGCCAGTCTAAACTTCAATGCCACTACAGATGCTGAGGTTCTGTACAAGGCCATGAAGGGGCTGGGTAAGATGCACATCTGCACTGTGTCATCTGATACGTCGAAGGCGTGGTGTCAGTCAGTAGCACAACTCCAACGCACCAATGAGAGAGCCTTTTTTTGGGCGTTCCTTTCTGTAGTACTCACTGCTGTCTGGGTGGAACTCCACTCAGACAGCAGTGAGTCATAAACACAACAGCAGAGACCCAACTTGAGTCACTGTGAGGGGAAAAAAAACCCATCTACTGACCTCGACTGAAAACTGTGATTATGTGGGTGAAATAATTGTGATCAAGAGTCCGCCTCGACTGGGCATATTCGTTGTTCTGTAATACGTGTGCTTGGCTGGGTAACCATGGTGCTTGTTGTCGTATAGGGACCGATGAGGATGCCATCTTGCAGCTGTTGGTGGCTCGCAGCAACGCCCAGAGGCAGCAGATCAAGACCGCCTACAAAACTCTATTTGGAAAGGTTGGACTACCTTAACAGCTGTTAAACCACATCAACACATATTACAAGAGCTTCAACTTTTAAAAAACGGCCTCTGTATGCTTCAAACAAACTACTGTATACTTTGAGGTACAATCATGTTGATGGTATAAACATAATTTAATCTAATTAAAGCACATGTTGTATCCTCATGACAGGATCTGATAGATGACCTGAAGGGAGAGCTGGGGGGCAAATTTGAGACCCTGATTGTGGGACTGATGACCGCCCCCCTCGCTTATGACGTGTCGTCGCTCCGCAACGCCATCAAGGTAAGTGCTGCGGATGAGATAAAGGCTCTTTTACGTGCTGTAGATGGAGAGTTTCTGAGTACGGTTAGAAACATGCACGTTCGCAGTCTGAGGAGCTGGAAACTCAACTGTCGCTTCATCGGACCGCTTCCCTCTTTCGACCTGTAGGGCGCAGGAACCGACGAGAAGGTCCTCGTGGAGATCCTCGCCTCCAGAACACCTCAGCAGGTGAAGGAAATCGTCGCTGCTTATAGAAAAGGTAACAATCACACACACATACTGCATGTTTTATTTATTGTAGCTTAACTTTAACTATAGACTCGGAGCTGAGTTTGTGCTAAACAAAGGGACACCGGCACGTGGAGGAGGGACAGTTTAAAAGGTGCTGAACAAAGACAGAAAGGAAAGTGTTGGTTAATATTTAATATATTTCTGTGTTTTGATGCATGTGTCAAAGATGAATCTGATGGGCAGATGTTTTCTAAAGATAGACAAAGAAAGTGTGACGATAAACTGGGAAAACTTTTTAAAGATCAGGTCTAAAAGAAAACTTGAACATGTGTGTTTCTTGTGTTTCTCAGAGTATGATGACGACCTGGAGGAAGATATATCTGGTGACACCTCAGGTCACTTCAAGAGACTTCTGGTTATTCTGCTGCAGGTAAATCTCCTCTTCTCTGCTCTCTCCTTGTCTCCTCTCCTTTGCTCTCTCCTTGTCTCCTCTCCTCTACTTTCCTCTCTTCTTCTCTATCCTTGTCTCATCTTCTCTAACCTTGTCTTCTCTCGTCTCCTTTCCTTTGCTCTATCCTCGTCTCATCTCCTCTCCTTTCCTCTCTTCTTCCTTGTCTTCTCTTGTCTCCTTTCCTTTGCTCTATCCTTGTCTCATCTCCTCTCTTCTTCTCTATCCTTGTCTTCTCTCGTCTCGTCTCCTTTTCTCAATCCTTGTCTTCTCTCGTCTCCTATCCTTTTCTCAATCCGTGTCTCCTATCCTCTTCTCTGTACTTGTCTCTTCTTCTGTCCTCTCCTCTTCCCTTGTCTCCCCTCCTCTATCCTGCTCTCCTTTTATCTTGTCTCCTCTCCTCTATCCTGATCTCCTCTCCTCTATCCTTGTCTCCTCTCCTCTCTAACAGAAATGTTTTGTCTCTCCTCAGGCGAACAGGCAGAAGGGGATCCAGGGGGGAAACGTAGAAAGTGACGCTCAGGTGAGTCTGTTGTTTTATCGCTAATCAGTAAATATTTCTGCTCTTCACTATCAATGGTGTCCTTGTTTTCTTGTCTGAGGGTGTGACTGTCACATGCTTTGTGGATAGGATCTAAATGCTGGGCTTTGAACACGTGTTTGTGTGTGCGTGTATTTGTGTGTGTGCATATGTTGCAGTTTGCACAGCTGATCTGTAATAACGTTATGAAGCCTCCTTGTGGAGGGAGCGAGTAACTCTTGGTTATATTTAAAAGAGATAATAAATACAGACAAGACAGAGAGATAAGACACTGTGAAGCGGTTCTGTATGGTGCGGATAATCAATTATTTTCTAGATGTTGCTGCTCCTTGGCCGAATGATTTCTGCTCTAGAATAACTTCTGTATGAACGGGATCCATCCCCAGTACGGACGAGACTTTACTTGATTTTGTTCAGTTGCTGTCATTAGTATCACTGATAGTCTCTCTATCTGATAGTCTGTCCTGTGTGTTTCTGTGGTCGCAGGTCCTCTTCAAGGCTGGAGAGCAGAAGTTCGGCACTGATGAACAAACGTTTGTCACCATCCTGGGAAACCGGAGTGCAGAACATCTTCGGAAAGGTTCGTCTGAGAGTTGCAGTTACAGAGCCTCTCAAATCTTTTTGGGAACTTCACTTAATATCCAAACTAATTCTGAACCTGTGCGTTTCAGTATTCGATGCCTACATGAAGTTGGCTGGATACGAGATGGAGGAGAGCATCAAGAGGGAAACCTCCGGAGGCCTGAGAGATCTGCTTCTGGCCGTCGGTACGAAACTACTGCAGGCTGCTTCTGTTGCCCGCTTCTTGAGGTGGCGACTTTGAATGAATAATAACGACACGTTCTCAATCGTCTGTCCTGTTTTTCTTTTAAAGTGAAGTGTGCCAGGAGCGTTCCATCCTACTTTGCTGAGACTCTGTACTATGCGATGAAGGTGAGACAACAAAGATAGTAGATAAAGTGTAATCAATGCTATGTTTAACCATTATAACAGTAGTTTTAATAACACATTATAATACCAGCACAATGCAATCCATAGCTGTCGTAGGGTAATAACTGCTTGTAGTTTATCTGGCCGGTCTGTAACTTTACCGCTTTGGTTCTCCGCTCTCAAAGAGTGATCGTTATCCATTCGTGAGGCACGCAGTCATCGTGTGTTTGTTGTTGCAGGGTGCAGGAACTGATGATAACACCCTGATCAGAGTGATGGTGACGCGCAGTGAGGTGGACTTGTTGGACATCAGAACTGAGTTCAGGAAGTTGTTTGCCTGCTCTCTGTTTTCCATGATCAAGGTACACACACGCACTGACGCACACATGAATAAACAAACACACTGCACCACACACACATTTACAGAACATAAGTTCTCATACTCCTATGAAGCGGTTTCTTCCTTTTCTTTATTTCTGTGTGTGATTGTTGCAGGGAGATACCGGCGGCGACTTCCGAAAGGCCCTTCTATTGCTCTGTGGTGGAGATGATGCGTAACCGGGGCCACAAGCTATGAAACAGGAACCACACCTGAAGTGCCTCTTCTCTAAGTCTGTCTTTTATTCTTTTGGGCCGTCGACTCACTGAAACAAGAAAATAACACACAGTCCAAAACAACAAAACATTGTTGTGCGTGAGAGACGGCCCATCAGGTCTTTTTTAAACTCCAAATATTGTCTTTGAAAGGTAGCTAACACTTAATGCAGCTTTTGGCCGACTAACATCTTCAATATGACAAATATTATATCATTCATTTGTAGTGTGAAAGCATGAGACTACAATTGTTTTGTTTGCACTTTGTATGGCAGAAACAATATATGCAATAATAAACATTTCAACTGATGAAGTACAAGGGCCTGTGTTGTTGTCTCAGTACCAGTCCTGTCCTGCAGTACACATGTACTAGTACATGTTTTACAAGTACCCGTTTGATTTCTGTTGACCATGCACTGTCCTCCCATTGCCACTAGAGGGAGAGAGAGCCGCTTTAATAGAGAGAAATTCACCCATGTTGAAGCCAGAGGCGATAAATACTTGAGTGTACTACGCTTCAGTACAGTCTTAAGGTATTTGTACAGCTTTATACTCCTTTTACACTATTATGTTACACTGTTTTATTCCATTACATTTATGTGAGAGCAACAGTAGTTGCTTACTTTGCTAATGAAGACTTTACAGATTAAACTTCTCAATAACATATGAAGCCCATTATAATCAGATCCACTTTGACCAGCTGCAAAGTAAAAATACTGCTGATATGACGGCATTAACAGTAATAATTTAATTAATTCAAATGTTCAGCTCTCTGAAAGGCAGCATTCTGTACTAAATATGTTTTACTGATGATACTTTTGTAAAATTTTTAATCCAGGACTTTTACTTGAGAGTATAAATATAAAACATGCCATAGCACACACGTGTGTGTGTGTGTGTGTGTGTGTGTGTGTGTGTGTGTACTATTTGATGCCTACATGAATGGATAGGAGATGTAGAGCGTCAAAAGGGAAAAATCTGAACGATCACACATACTCATAAAAGACAGGAAGGCATTAAGAAAAAACATAAAATAAAACATAATTAGGATTTTTACAAGAGTAAAACTAAATAAAGTGGACGATAAAATGCATAGCAAACAAGAGAGCTTTAAGCCCTAAAAGAACAAAGAGCTGCAGCAGATCTCAAGTATTCTATTCAGTTTGTTGATATGTTGCATACAAATTGAATGCTTGGGTTGACCTGCACTTACTTTAACTGAATCGACAGCTGCTGGCGTTTAACAGGTAACCTTAACTGTTGCCATAAAATGACATCAGGGGAAGATGCTTTGTTCTGTGTGGGTTGAAGGAGGGGTCGTCACAGGTCCTGTTACACTACTCCTCTGTTATTCTTTTCACGGAAGCGGTTGCACTTGATTGTTGCCACAGAAACAAGCAGCCAATAACAAGCTCCAAACAGCAGGGTGTGGGGGTCAGGCCACCTCAAGCCACAGGAACAACAATACCTCCGACTCCTCCCACCTCGCTGCCCTGCGTGTTTCTGGGTGGGCAGGTCAGCTTTGTAGGTCAAATCTGAAGTACTTAGTGGAGCGTTGAGTTGTGTTTTGATGTTTTTTTCACCCTCCTGACATCCAGAGCCCCTCCTCATCTTCACCACTGAGGCTCTGAACTACTAACTGCAGTTCAAGTTCAAGTTGACCGGGAAGTTTTGTTTTCCAGTAGGCTAAAGCTTAGAGCTGCTACCGTTAACGTTAAAATGTACAGTGAAAGAAGCAAAAGCTGTCTGCCTAAAGCTGATGCTATCCTCCTGCACACAGCTGCTGGTGTACTAACATTGATGAAGAGCTGAAACAATTAGTCGATTCTTTGCATCAATGTAATCAGCAACTATCTTCATAGGTGATTTATCATTTAATTCATTTTTCAAGCCAAAAAAAGGCCAGACCTTTCTGTAGTTTCAGCTTCTCAGTCGGAGGATCTGAGGATTTTCCTCTTGTCTTTGTTTTATATTATAAGAAACAGAAATGTCTTTTGGTTTCTAGATTTGTTGGTTGAAATAAACAAGAAATATGAAGCACTTTGGTGCCTCGGAATGTGTGGCTTCACCATGTTCTGCCATTTTATAGACTAAGCAATTGCTTGATTAATCAAAAAACAATAATTAACCATTGATAGTGAAAATAAATGTTAATTGGAGCCCTAATGACATTGGGTTTAACCCATCAGACGCTGATTGAGCTTCAGTAATAATAACACAAGATCAGAAGCTTCCGTTTGCTGAATAAGAGAGTACAGAAACAACAAATCCAGATGCTTCCATACGGCTGTGTTACACGATACAATTAACATCTTATCTAATGTGAGACACTTAAAGCGTTTCAGCAGAGGAAAAGATCTAATGACTAATTAAAAAGATGAATGCATGTTGAGAGGCACTGGTCTGTATAGATATATGGAAAAAAGACCTATTTATTGCTGTGGCAGTGAAGCATGTCAATATTAGACATGTTGTATAAGACTGAGGGCCTTCCCTCAGACAAAGCTTGGAAAAAGACTCTCTTCAACTCCCCCTTAGTTTACTTACTTAGTTTCGGTCAATTCCTTGATGCCAGTGGGATCATGATTATGTCATTATTGTCATATAGACACTTAACAATTGAAGATATGATGTGACTGCTTGACGTAACTTCAGACTACATGAAACACACAAAAACCAGTTATGTTGTTAAGACAGAGTGTCGTTTCAAAAGGCTCAAGGACATTCTCACACGCGCATACACACACACACACACACACACACACACACATATACACACACACTGACTATATGATGCTTGCTAGCTTTTATCCCACTGTTCTTGTCATCCTCTTGTTGTTATGTCTATGTATTGTCTAATATTGTCTCTTGTCTTTCAATAAAAAAATGATAAAAAAATAAATAAAAAAAAGAGTTGTTTCTTTCCAGATAAGAGGGGCGATGATTCAAAATTTCATCCAATTTTTCAAGTTTCTTATTCAGGTTGGTGTGGAACATCAGGTGATGGGGATTGACAGGAGGGAGTGGTGGGATCTGAACACAGAGAACATAGACGGCAGGGAGACAAAGCATGCAAAAGAATGTGACAATGAGGAGTTGGCTGGCATTAGGTTGGATCAACCTGGCACATATCTAAAATTTAATTTCGATATGCAAGCAGGTACACTAGAGTCCCAAACACCCAACGTGGTTGAATCCACAATTCTTAAAATAATGTAATGTAATGATTCAACTGTAGAAAATCTTATAAAACTAACAAAGTAACAGCAGAGAGATTATTTTTATTTGAATCAATTGATCACATATTAAAAAAACAGAAATATGGGGGAGAATAACTGTTCCAGCCAAGCTTCCACATTGTATATTTTTGATGGAATATATGGAGCAAATCTGATTGATTTGGCTACTTTGGCATCAAAGTCTTAAATGCCCACAAGAAGAATGTCGACATCAACAAAAAGAACAAACCCAACAAACCATTAGTCTGAAGCCCGAAATAAAACAAGTTTGCACCTGTTTCATTCATCAGGAAAACCCTTTTTCTTAGCTTTGGGAACAGGTTAGATGGAAGAACAGATAGAACATACTGTCTGCTTTTGCTTGAAAGGTCTGAAACCTCAAAGGGCTTGAAAAACAAGTTGTTTTAATACTTTGAGCTGAGGAGTCAAAGGATGGCGCTTTCACGGGTCTTTGTACAGTTTGTAAAGCATCGTCACTACCGCCCTGCGCGATGAAGAGAAACGAGACGAGACATGCCGCCATCGTAACGGCTATGAGCGGGAAAAGGACTCGCATACCTTAGATATGACTCAGATGAGTTGATGATTATTGATGATAACGTGTTTTCCTTCAGGGATTTCTTCACCTCATTATAGATATTAGTGAGAGTATTTGTCTTGACAGGGCTTCTAGTCTGTAGTGTTTTACACATGACAGAAAAAATGTACAGCGTGACATTAGAGGGAAACTCCACCGATTCAATTTAAAAGGGACGATGAGGATTATTCAGCCTGTGAAAAGTTATTTTTTGGGGGCTTTGAAAAGTATAAGAATTTTACTCAAATGGTAGTTAAGTAATAAGTAATACTTTGTTTGCCTTTATTTGAAAGTGGACAGTAAAGAGATGACAGGAAATGAGAGATAAAGACGTCGGTGTACTTCATCACACCTGCTTGACTTGACAGATGTCTGAGAACAAGTCATTTGGCTCTCGGATCATCATCGATCGTCATCTGAGGAGCAGGACAAGACGATTCGATTTTTGGGGGGAATGATTTATTTTTTCTGTCAATATTATCATAAAGTAAATGTTAGCTGATTCAGCAAGATTGATTTTTCCTTTGAATATCTAACTTGCAGAGTTCTCGACCATGAAGTAGGCGACTATGACACCCTCGCCTCATTGAAACAAATCGAACATCCTCTTGCTCTATGATCGTTTGCTGGCTAGTGAGCCTTTCGGCAACAGCAGACCAGATTTTACTGCACACGTGTTGTACCCAAATGATATGACCCCACATGAAGCTGTGACATCTGCTCTTTTAACCCTCCTTGTATATTAGAGCTCTGCTTTATAGGAAGCATCCTTAAGCTCTGGACCGCCAACTCTGGTAACTCAAAAGAAAGAATGACATAAGGCCCGCTGAACTTTTCTGAACTTTTCTGATGTATATGTGCAAGTTGACTGACATGTGAATGAGGTCAAAAGGTTGACTGACAAAATGAGGAGAACATGAAAACATTACGTTTAAACTATAACTGCTGTTATAGTTTAACAGTTATAGTTTACAGTGGTGTCGATGATATCCTGATAAACTTGAATCAGCACTGCCTAAAAGCAAATTCCAATGAAAACACCTTCTAATAGAGGCAGACATTACACACACCCTTCTATCATGAGCAAACATGTTACCAATGCTACAAACCAGGAGTCGCTTAAACACCCAATTCAACTGCTCACTAAAACCAGAAGGCTTGTGTGGCATGTTTGTAGACCTTAGAGAGAAAGAGAGAAAATGTGTGTTTTTCTTTAGATTATATTTCAGTTAAACTCACTGTCCCTCTGTTTCACACCCTCAGTATTTTAAAGGAACAGTGTGCAGCATTTGGGGGGTGGGGGGGTTGTCTATTGGCGGAAATGGAATATAAAATGTTAATATGTGTGTTTTCTTTAGAGTATAATCACCGGAAAAATAAGAACCGCTGTGTTTTTGTTATCTTTCAATGAGCCATTTATCATGATCTAAATACGGAGCTGGCCGCCATGTTTCTACAGTAGCCCAGAATGGACAAACATTCGCTTTTATGCATTTTTCGCGTTTTTGCGTCTGCCGCCGTAGTTCCAGCCGGCTCCCACCATATAAAGTGAGAGAGACACCCTGTTGTTGTTATATTGTTATGTTATGTTATTGACATATCAGACATGTTTTCTCGTTACGTTGTTTCTGCACGTATTTAACTTAGTTTACATACTTGTTTTAGCACAACCATGATGAAAATAAGTAATAATGACTTAAGGAAACGCCATGCGATGCACATCTTCTCATGAGATCGGGTTGGTAGTTCTCCTACGCGTTTGCCACACGAGAGAAGTTTCAGTTGGTTGCAATCTGCAACCTTGCCACTTGGTGCCGCCAAATCCTACACAATGCACCTTTAATACAAGCATGAAACAGCCATAGTGGCTCTGTCTCTTGAAAGTTATTGGTGCATAAATGCTCAGTGCAACGTATCCTCCTCATACAACAGTTGGTATATGATATCCTGCGAAGTGTTACTCCTCGATTTTGTCTGGTTTCCCTCCGAAATAATTCCGTGGGATATCTATGAATTATCTTTCGTAGCTACGACTGCAGGATGAGACCAGCCAGCTCAGTGACCCAACCACACAAAAACACACACAGAGGAAACAGGCAAATCCTTAGATTTAAGAATGTTGAGAAATAAATCACCTGTTTCAGCACACATGTCAGTATCTCCCCACCTAAAAACTACAAAACACACCATGCATCTGATTTATAGATATAGCTCCTCCACTCTCCGGCTAACTGATCCTGCAGCACTTTATCCTGCTGGTGGATCTCCTCTTGATCAAAGCCTGCAGGACCCCAAACATAAAAGAAATACACCTTCACGGGGAGGCAGCTGACACTTATAGCACAGATTTTTGGGATGGTATCCTCATTTCCTTCTTGACCCTTGACCTCTAACCTCTAACTACTTCCTCTTTCCTGGAATGTGTCCTTGAGCTCTGGCTGATGGAGTCGGTGAAACAAAATCCCTTTTGTGTCATCAAAGAGAGCGGACTTCCGTTAAAAGGTGGAAATCTCTCAGTTGGCTTTTTCTTTTAAGTGTCTGTCTGAGGGGACAAAGAGCAGCAGGTCAAAGGTGAAGAAGGTCAGGAGCTGACAGGAAAGCATAAAATCCACATCTGGGGTTGCACTTGTTCAGGGATTACACACACACACACACACACATGTGCACACACAGCTGGATCATAGCAGTCTTTACTCACAATCTCCCCAAATGGCTCTTAATGCAGCTGGCTGCTGTCACTGAGGAAGTAATTAGAGACTTCTGCAGGAAACCATGGTGAACAAGCCTTCTATCTGGACGCCATGTACAATCACTCCACTTAAGTGTTTCTTTAACCTGAGGGCATGTCAGCAGTAAATTGTGTAATGCACACCATTTAATCTGCCAAGTGTGTTACACAAAGTCATACAGGATGTTTTGCTCTGAATGCTCTGTTAGTTGCTCACACTGAGAAAATCTCCATCGTATCAAGCACATTTGATTTGTTATTAACCCCTAAAAGTATTGTCTCAAAGTAAGAGAAAAAAGAAAAAATCTGCCTGTACAAACTATCTCACCATGATGCTTTAAGACATATTAAAAATTGAAAGGAATTTTGCCCCCAAGGACTTGAAACACTCCTGTTCAAACATCTATTTCATTACAAAACGAGCAGACTGAACCAGTCAAAGAGACAATGATTTGGGTTGGAGACGTACAGTTTCTAATGTGGGAGTGTTCAGCAGTGTTGCGAGTCAGTAGGAGGAAATTTTTTTGAACTCAGAATCTCGTTTTGTACATTGATTGTTGGTTTCTTGAGAGAAGACACTAAAATTAAGAAAAATGACACTTGACTCTAGAAAATGTTGGAAACAAGTTAAGTATCTTTTGGAAAGGAGTCATTGTTAGATAAGATATTTAGGACTCAACAAGAAAAACTGATAAAATGTGTATTTTATGGTGCATATGTTTTCCACACACAGCGTTCATCCCTCTGCTTCTCCCCTTTAAAAGACATGTTTCATATTATTCAAGGCAACAGGACGCATTGTATAAATAGAAAATATTTATTTTGTGGTGCATAAATACAGTGGTGTTTACATGGTTGATTGATAAAGTTGAACAGAGAATGTACCACTGTATATTATAACCAATCTTCAGTTCGGTGGGATAAACAGAGGTGCGGGAAGTGTTCAGGTTGAATAAAACAATACCACACTGTAAAAATACACTATTACAAGTGAGAACAAAATATATCCTCAAGATCCAGGATCCAAAACTCAGGTCAACACTGATTTGTGGTTGGTTTCCATGTTTGTGTTTAGTGGTCATATATGGTCACCTGAAAAATGCTTGGAGTGGTGAAAAGACAAAAAGACAAAACAAACATACAAAATATAAGTAAGACACAGATTCATCAGCACATTTTACTTGAAGTATTTTTTTTTTTTAATACTATATTGATTTGTCTCTGCATTTGACCCATCCCTGTGTATAGGGAGCAGTGGGCTGCCAATGACAGGCACCCAGGGAGCCTGGGGTTCAGTGTATTGCTCAGGTACACTTCCACACATCCCAGTCAAGGATCGAATCTTTGACCTTGTGGTTTCCAGACAACCCTCTTAACCCAGTGAGCCACGGTCACCCCATTATTAAAAAATGTAATCATTATTATTAGCAGTGTTGTTGGAGCATTTTTTTTTTAATGGCGTAATTGGTGAATTGATTTTAATCTGTCACAATAAAATTATATTTTACAAAGTTTTAAAGGGCCATTAAAAATCTAAAAAGTAACAACTGCATGATGAATTGATCTTGTATTTATTTGACTTAAGCAAAAAAGATGAACAGAAGTGAAAGTTCCTCAACATTGTAATTAAAGTACAAAGTATAGAACATGTATACTTTCCACTGCAGGTGATAAATTACTTGAAAAATACCTGATAATATCCACATCTGCATGAGTTTGTGAACATGTCATATTGGTGTTTGTGCGAACAGAAAATCAGTTCATTTCTGTAGAAATGACACTGTGCTCGACTCGACTCTCGATGATTCAAAATGAACCGCTGATTAACACAACGAGTCCTAAAATAAATCCTGCTGCGCTCAGTCCGATCATGTCCACATCCTCTTGTGATCTGAAGCTAACAGTCGTCACTTTGCAGCATGGACAGGAAGAAGTTGCACACACTGGCCCACGAGCCGCTGCAGTTCTCCTCGGCTGTTTCCCGGTGGTTCGCGCGCCTTGTGCAGGCTGTCGGTCCGGCCGGAGGCGCAGCGGTGGAGATGGAGTGAGGCGGCAGCGGCTTGGTAGTCTCCGGTTCTCCGGACTGAGCGGAGACGATGGAGCTGGAGTCTAGCTTTAAGTGAGCGTTCCGAGGCGCGCGCTTGCACATGCCAATCCTTACCAGCGCGTGGTCGTCACTACACACGTTGTCTTGCAGCCTTCTGAACGCTCTGGCCACCTGTTTCCAGAAGCCCTTGGTGTTGGACTGGTAGCCCGGGCAGCTCTGCGGTTTGGCGTTGTATTCGCACCTCAGATCGGTGACTCCGCCTTTGACGCGCGCCTCCCGGTCCTCGCATATCACAGACAGCCTGACGGTGTCCCTGACGTCTTTCGCCCGCCACGTGCACTGCATCTTGTCCTTGATGGAGAACTTTCCCCGGCCTCTCGCTACGGGCTTGTTCCCGCTCCTCTGCCCTCTGACGGGGGCTGGGGTCCCGGTCTGTTCCGCTCCTCGGTTCTTATTGCGCGCACCACAGGACAGAGAGACCTGCTGCCCGAGGAAGGCCAACAGCAACCAGGGAGCGAAAGTCTTCAGCATCAACATATTCTCTTTTGGCAGACAATGTATTATTATCTGAAAGGTTAAAAAAAGAGGTTCAGTGATGGAAATAATCAGGTCATCGGGCACAAAACTGTGTTTAATGAGTTAAAGGCTGTTAATAGAAAATATAAATCCACATGATCTCTAATGACATCCAGGAAAATGAAAAAATATATATTATATTTTGAATTTACAGTAAATAAACTTCTTTATTAAACGATTTTGCGTCAATCTGGTAACTATTACGCATGGAAAATTAGCAATTAAAACTTAACTCCTGAGCCTGTAGTTATTTTAAAGACACCTGTGGAAGGTGAGGAGGCCGCACTATTCTACTCCACAGACTGAACATGCAAGACAGTCAAAACACCGACTCCAACTTACCGAAAACTACGAGGGTTGCTCTGCGTAAAGCTGCTTCCTGTGGCTCTCCAAGATCTCGCACATGGCTTTTATTCATAAATGCTGCTACACGCCCACCATTCCCGCCCAACAGCACACACACACCTCGATTGAGAAAAACAAGGGAAAAGGGAATGTGTTTTGTTCTGGCCTGACCTGACGTGTCTAAACTGAACTCCCGCCATTAATAGAGTTTAGATCGAGATCAAAGATATTGTAAATACAGGCTGATGATTGCGTGTCTGCACATAGTGGATTTATTCTAAATAACTTTAAGGTTACCACATTATAACCCCAACACGCGCACGCACATTCTTGGAGGCTCGACTGAGACTCTGACTTTCCACCAATCCGCTGCTGCACTCAACCACAAGGAGGTCCTCTCTTTCAACTTCAGGCCATGTGGCTTGACTTGGGTCATCACAGCAAAAGACTCGAGGTAACAATAGGCTACAATCTTTAGGATAAAGTACAAACAGTGGTAATTAAAAATGATTGAAGAATATCTTTCTTATGTAAAAAACAAACCAAACAAATATAATACACATTGTTTCACTTAAGTCATTTGCTGTCATTTACTGTAAAATCTGCTGTCACATATAGTCCATTTTAATCTGAATTAACATAATCTACTAAATGAAAATCATGCTGTATTGAAGAAGACTTGAAACTAGAGATTGAGACCATAAACTCATTTTACAAAGTTTACAATGTTTACCGAGGTAATATATCAAGTGAGAATTAGGGTCATTTTCTACAAGACTTCTAAACAATCGAGACATCAGTCGCCCCCTGATGGCCAGTAGAGAGAACGCAGTTAAAAAAATAAATAATTTAAGATAAGTTTGGGGGCTTTTTGCCTTAAATGGATAATACAGTCGAAGAGAGACAGAGGACAACATGCAGCAAAAAGCTACAAGTCGGATTAGAACCCGTGCCACTGTGGTAAGGACTCAGCCTCGGTGCATGGAGCACCAGAAGAATGCAAGTTTAAGGCACTTCAGATTTCTCAGACCCGAAAGGTTGCCGCCTGGGTGCCGCTCAAAAACAGAAGTTCTTGTTGTAAGTTTCCTTTTGCACATACAGTTAAAAAGCAAAACAAAAACAGAACTTCCATGTTCTGTTCGCTTGTATTGCAAACTAGCTTACGTGTCCAACAGCAAAAGTGACATCCCAAAATAAGAGTGCAGAGGACATCATGGATGAGGATACAGTGGTTTGGCTGACTTGGATATTGAGCTGTATTCATTCGAGCCAGAGTTAATGCGGACGAACAAATGCAGCGGAGAGAGGACGAGGCTGCAGCTGCATTATCCGTGAGAGAGGTCCATCTTTTGGGCCCGGGCGGCAAAGCTCCAAGAGCAAGAATACTTGGCTTTCGGAATGTATAGCTTCAATTGACTCCAATTACTATTAAGTCTGATTGGACGTTCACATAGAAGACGGCACATTTTCCCTTTAACATAACAGAAATGGTTAAATTCAAGGCCTTACACAGTATTGAAAACAGTTAAATACACCATTTAGACACATTTGACGCGGACATTGACCACTTTGTTACTTTTACCTTCCTTTGTTCTGTCTTACTGTTGTCTATCAAACAGTAACAGATTCACCAGATGTCAGCTCCCTCTCTCCCCATAAACCCCCAGTTGGTTCCTCCTTTGATCTCCTGACATTAACTCGGTGAGCTCCTTCATGAACTCCATCAGAAGTCAGACGAAGTCTTCATCTGTCGTCGGCAGCCTCTCGTTCATTAAAACAATCACTGCTGATGTCTTGCAGACTTTCTCTCATTTCTGTCTAACACCTTTTAAACTGTCCTTCCTCCACATGCATGTTTTCCCTTTTTTTTAAAGCACAAACTGAGCGATAAGCCCATCTCGTCATTTTGTCAATTCCACAAAGTCTAATGCTGCCTGGAAGCCAAAATACAAGAAAAATGACACAGGCGCCTGTAAAAATGTACAGATATTTAGTGATAAACACTCAAAATGAACAGTTAAATATCATAAAAAAATGTATTGTTTCACTTTTGATTCACACAAACAGAAGAAAATGTAAGAAGTGTAATGTACAACAGTCTATTCGCATGTGAAGTGAAGTGTTGTATGTCTAGAGACATTAATGGGACACTGTGTGAACGTTCAACCGCTTTCTCAGCTTGTCTCTCCATGATTTATATATATTAATGAAGTTATGTTACTATAAATAAAACACACACAGAGACTCTCGCCTAAATAACTGATGTTATATATAGACAGCAGCAGCCAGCCGTGGTTCAAGAGACCATATCTTACCTGGAACACAGGTGTGACTAATGTCATTAACGACGACTCCAGTCAGGTGTTCCAGTTCAATCAATCATCAATGCAGTGAAAAAAAGGCCTATCGAAGATGTGTCTAAACGCTGTATCTAACCATAGTCATTTTATTTTAAGGCTTTCTTTTGCCTTATGTTTTGATGCTTTTAATGGTTTTATGTGAAGCACTTTGAATTGCCTTGTTGTTGAAATGTGCTGTACAAATAAACTTGCCTTGCTCGATCTGTAGACATTTTTGATTCCAGTGTTTGATTCTCTCCAGTTATAATTATGTTAAATTATGAAACCACATCCTAAGAAACCTAAACTTTCTCTGTTGAAGACAATATATTTGGACACTTTCCTATAGCAGTCTCTCCCTTTTTAAAGATTTCAAACTAACAGGGCCTTTTGCTCTTAGACGGGTCCTCCCTCTCGTAGAAATCGGAATTTGTTTGTTCATGTCATTGGCCAAGCAAAAGATTTTTGCTAACAAAATGACAAGAGACAAGAAATTGGGTTGAAAATCAAGTTATTGAAGGATGTAAGGACAAAAAAATGAAGCTACTTGAATGTAAATTGATGCAAATAGTACAGTAGTAGAAAACAAGGTTCAATAAAACAAAGCTACGATATGTAGATTAACTGCACACTAAATTATACATTCATAACTTTGTATTTTGTATAATAAATGTGGTACATTTGATGCTGTGAAGTTGATCTACATATCAGATTACAGCACACCGCTGATCCTACGAAGCAGTTTATGAATCCACTAAGCCAGGTCATTATGTTTCATTCCTGGAATGACGCAGCTGCTGCAGGTACAGAAGGAACAAAGACATCGTGGTAACAAGGAAGGAGCCATATAAAGGCTCACATGGGCACAAGTCCAACCGTCTCACAGGTTACAGTTGCTTCTCACTGAGTCACTGTGTCAGTAGTAGTGGAGGTTAAGTTTATGTAAACAGTAGTAGGGAAGCTATGTATGTGTGTGTGTGTGTGTGTGTCCTCTCTGCACTCAGCAGCACCATCTTGTGGTCATTAGAAGTCCAGCACCTCCTCACCGCGACTGAATAACAGTAAATACATATAGTGGAAAGTAACTACATTTCTTCAAGTACTACATTGCAATTCTGAGATACATGTACTTTACTTGAGTTTTTTCCCCTTTCATACTACTTTATACTTCTGCTCCACTTCTTCTCAGGGAATTAAAAAAAACTTTTTACTCCAATACTTTTATCCAACAGCATTTACATCGAGATTTGACATTAAGAAACACGATAAACCTTAAAAACACAACATATAGCTTAAGATTGCAGTGATTACCAATTATGTGGCTTTTAGCCCTTTAAAGTATTCTGGGTGTTTCAGAGGTCAATGTGTTTTTAGCATTTTCCCTCTAAACTTCTCAAAAGGTTTCATTTAATAAATAACTGTTCAAGGACTTAAGAGGTAAAAAAAATCTAATATTTTACCAAAATAAAGAATAAAAGATTAGAGAAAAGACCCCTCAGTTTTTGCTGCTTATGTGCAAGTATTTTTTACTTTTAATACTTAGATACATTTTACTGCTCATACTTCTTCTGTACTTTTACTTGATATGAGGTTGGACGCAGGACATTTACTTAGCAGTTTTACTTCAGTAAAGGATCTGAGTGCGTCTTTTACCTCTGAAGTACTAGAAAATGTTGAGAGTTTGTCGTGACTGACGCATTGGTATAGGTATAAGTCATGTAAAAAAGTAGCTCCACTCACTGTGATGAGTGAAAGCGAGTGTGTGTGTGTTGAACAGCACCGGTGCTGCAGCCACACTCGTTTCCTCTCACACAGACCCCCTCTGTTCCCGCACACGACAGCTCTTAAGACCCAATTCATCAGCTCATACAAAGAAGTGTTTAGCTTTACTCAGACGGCCTGTGTGTTATCTTTACTGCAGTCTGTGTGTCTGTCCGTTAACAACTTCCAGAGGCCACGCTGCAGACATGTTGTTACAGCCGGCGACGAAGAGAAACAAGGACTTCTTTTGAATGAGGGAGTGTGACAACTTGCAGCAGAAGAAACAGAGCAACACAGAGGAATAAGAAGAAGAGAGATCTCCACTCTGACTTTATTCTCTTTACCATCACATGTTGGAACATTTATGTGACAAAAGGATATACAAACAAAAAATCACATGCCTGCCATATTTTCCCTTTTGCCTTGCTGTGTGTTTTACAGATTTAAAAAGAATGACATGTACACTACATGACAGGACAAGCAGTCATCCACTAACCGTGCACAAGTGTAGGTTGAGTGTTTTTGGCTCAGCTCGTATAAGATGGTGCAAAATCATTTCAGAGGCTCCCACACAGATCCTGGAGGTCGAAGATAGTCGAGGAGAGTTCTGGCGCTGGTGTTTCCAGCCTGAAACAAGGAAAGATTAGTGTTTTTCTGTGATTAATTTGAGATAAAGTTAGTTTCTCTTATGAATATGAAGGCTGCACTGAGATACGTTGCTCCATAAACTGGGTTTAGGATTCATATTTTACATTTTTCTATCATTACTAATGCTTTTTGGATTTGTAGTGGTTTTCAGTTGAATCCATCCACACAACAACAACCATGCATTTTTGTCTTTCTCTCACTTTTTATTCTAACATTTCCAGCCGCCCTCTTACTAAACTTCATCTCTGACTGTTCTGTTCTTCATCTTCACTTTTCACCCACCTGTGTCTGCAGCATCGCCTCAGTTTTGGAACCAGCTGATGAAGTAGGTGCAGACGCCGTGGAAGCTCTTCCAGCAGTGCTCGGAGGCGACGCGGGAGGCTTTGGACTCAGGCTGCTCTGTGGGACGAGTAGTGGTCTTCCCAGGCTTGGGGGTAGTTTTCTTGGTCTGCGGGCCCTTGCCTGGCTGGGGCTTGACGGGCTGCTGCTGGGGCTTGACAGTTTTCGGAGTATTGGCGGGCTTGTTCTGGGCTGGCACAACAGGTTTACGTGGCTCCTGGACAGGCTTGGAGGGCTTGGTGCTGGATGTCTTGGGCCAGGATGCCAGGAAGGTAATCTGGGCCTCGTCTGGGTATTTCTTGCACATGGCTGGGCGGTAGACTTTGGGTCCCTGGCAGGCGTGGCTCAGCTTTCTCATGTCCCACATAATCTGAGTGAAGTAGTGGCGAGGGTTGAGGTTGTAGGCGCGGCACAAGTTGGGTTTGCCCTGGAAGTCGCAGTAGTAGGAGCGTCCTGGGGTCTGGCCCTGGCTCGGACCTTTGCAGGAGACACGCAGGCGAGTATAGTCCCCGGCTCCAGACACCACCATGGTGCAGGAGTCTTTAGCCTTGGTGCTGAATCTGATGGGCTCATCCCAGACGCTGCGTTGCTGTTGCTGCTGCTGCTGCCTGTCGTTACTGCTGTTGTTGGTCTGAGCGCTTGACACACAAACAGCTGCTGCCAGAAACAGCAGCGCCACTCTCATCTTGGATCTCATGGCGACGTTTGGTGTGTCAGTGACGGATGAACGAGGGTATGGGATGATGTGTATGTATCCTCACAGAAGGTTGAGGTGTGCAAGGGTTGAACACGTCTGTGCGGGACTTTATATTGCTGAAGCTCACAAAGAAGGTATTATTCAGGTGAGATGAAGGCCTCAAACTCCTCCTCCGGCTCTGACCCCCCTCTCCCTCACACCACACACACACACACACACACACACACACACACACACACACACACACACACACACACACACACACACACACGACCACATGAAGCCTGTGTGGCATCAAAACTAAAAAGTGATGGATGAGATGGAAGGAAGGAGGGGGGGGACATAAACAGGGAGGAGGAAGAGGGGTGAGGGGAAGCGGTCAACAGGTTTGTGGGGGGAGTACACACATGAAGCCAAATGCTGTGAAAAAGACTTGCGAGACATTATATATAATCTCACATAGGTTCTTTGACTATTGATGAGAAGGAGAGGGGGAGGAGAGGACCGAGGAGGTCCCGTAAAAAGTGCAGCCTGAAGTTATTTGCTGAGGGCTCATGGTAAAAACCTCATCATGTTCATCTTAAGAGACAAAGTTCCGAACAGAACGATTTGTATTGTCCTTCTTTTTAAACTCCTGCTGTGCAGCCAAACTTTGTTTAAACGCACATTGCTTTATTGTGGTGGAGATCGCAAAGCTTTAAAAGGTGACAACTTATGTCCCACTACATGTTAAGGAAGTTGCTTAAAATCAACTGATTTTGGAGAGCTGGAGCGTTGGAGCAAGCGGATATACTGTCAGACAGTTCTCTAATAGGATGATTCAACCTTAAAGTGAGACTAGAACTGTTGAAATAAGAAATTTTCTCCTTCAAATCATTGTTAAAACTGATCCTTAGTAAGACCCGCCCCCCAACTGTCAGAGCTACGTTTCCATGGAGCCCACACTGTCACTAACTGAACTTCACAATATTACAAAATGCATTTAAAAGATATATCCAGGATGTGAAACTGAACAGGTTAAAAAGATAAAAATAGAAGCTAAAGCCGACAAATGAAAGCGTAAAAGTTTGAAAGGCGGGACTTAGCCAAGGGTCAGTTATAAATCATTTTGAATTTCTCAATTCAATACACTCAGAAGTTTTGCTACCTCTGTCTCACCTGGTCTGGTATGACGTGTAGCTTATGGTGGCTAGCTGTTTCCTCCTCCCTGCAGTCTTTATGCTAAGCTGTGGATTTATATTCATCGATATCAGTGTTCTCATCTGGGCCATCAATCCAAATCAAGTAGCCTATTTGCCAAAAGGAAACAAAAAGCTAAAACTCTAATCCTAGTGGCAAATTGAGTGTTTACAGTAGACAGACCACAAAAATAAACAACACAAAATGAACGGTCAAGCTGGTAGGTAAGAAACAAAATACAACAAAAAGCAGAAAAATGATACACTGAAATCTCAGAATGGTGACTGAGCTAAAGAAAGTCCCACTACCTCTAGATCATATTATATAAATACTGATTAAATACAGAGATCAGTATCACCATTGACCATAGTCTTGACTTTTAACTTGTGAAACTAAACAGAGGAACAGACGCTGCCTTTGAGAAGACATAGTCCATATGTACCGGCTGGCTGGGACACATAGCGGAGGAAGAAGAGAGTGTAGCCTATAGCCTATAGCCTGCTGCTGCGTACAAAGTTGCACGTGTGTGTATATACACATGCCCTCAGTACATTCAGGAAGTTTTGTTTTTATAGCCATCAATCTGGGGAAAAGAGAAAAAGTTCCCCTTTAAGAGACACAGGGAATGTGAAGTAAACATATGAAGTGTATGTGTGTATGTTGTCTGAACCAGATGTTTCCAAAAATTTAATTAGTGGAGTGCTCTTCTGATAGGATGCAGCAGCGTCGCGCCATCTCAACCACCGCCAAGCCCCCCCCCCCTCCCTGCAAACCTGCAAACCTTCCCAAAACAGACCTTCTCAGCTGCTGTGTGTGCACTCAACTCGGCATATGTTACATGAATGTTCTCTGCATTACCCGGTGCTCTGTGTTTTGGCAGATGGGCTAAGGTGATTTTTCTTTAGGGCGTGGATGTCTAAAACATCTGTACATCTACATATATCATCAAGTGTTCTTTTTCAATCCTAGCAGTGGCTCAGAGTTTATCTGCAACATGAAAGCACTTAAAAAGTGATTTTGGGTGATTTATGACACAAATCACACACATCTTATGAGTTTCCTCAGTAGATGATATAACAGTGGTATATCCATCCACTTCATGTGTTTATGGAAGAAAAACAAAGCAGACACTTATCAGACTGAAGTTTTTATTCACAGATTTGTGCCCTCACCACAAACTTCAGCTGTGTTATCATTTTTGTATGTGTGTACGTTCGTCTGCCACCACAGAGGCCTCTGGGAGTTTTATTTTTCAAATCAAAGGATGGTGAAGAAAAAAACCCCTCTCACAAGTACAAGTCACTATTTGTCACTAATGGTCTGGCGAGAAATGCCTAAGACACAATATCTGGTTTGTCAGCTGTCTTAAAACCTGGTAAGGGTATGTGTATGTAGCTTATGTGTGTGTTGAATAGCTAGTAACACTTTGCCTCTGCCACATCGTTAGTTTCCTTCTTCAATGTTTAAATGAATAGTTTGACATTTTGGGAAATATTTCTCTTTCGTTTACTTGTTGAAAGTTTGCTAAAAAGGTCGATCATTGTCTGTATGCTAACAATAAAGCTACAGCATATCAACAGTTAGCTTAGCATAAAGCCTGGAAACAGAAAAAGAGTGGCTCAGACCAAAGGGAACAAAAACCACGAACCACCAGCTCTAACGCTCACCAATAAACAAGGATTTATCTTGTTTGTTTAATTGTTAAAATAAAAAATAAAAATAAAAAGTATAAAAATGCCGATAAGAAGTCCAGTTAAGAAATAGTCCAGCGCATAACTCCATGTAAATTGTCGTTTTCAGCCATGCTAGTGGCTCTATGGATGGCAATATTGATTGAATGACATTTTCTACAGACATTTATGGTCCCCAGAGGATGAATCTTAAGGACTTTGGTGGATCCCCGGACATTTTGTTTATAATTTTTGGCTTTCAGTTACATATCAAGACTACTATGGGATGGATTTACGGTGGATTTACGGTGGATTTACGGTGTCCTGGGGATGAATTCTAATAACTTTGGTGATCACCTGACTTTTCATCTGGTGAGATCATCAGGTCAAAATTTTGATTTGCTACACTTTGTTTTTGTCTTTATGCTAAACCTAGCTAACAGGCTGGTATTCAACAAAAAGACACAAGAGTTGTATCTTCAGCAAACAAGGGCATTTCCCCAAAATGTCAGACTATTTCTAAAAAAAATCCTACTTATGTGTTATAAAACAAACATCAACAAAAAAATATATAAAACTTTCAAAAGTTTTGAAAGCGTAAAAAATGTACATATGTGTCACCATGTTAGAAACTGATAACTGAAGTACAAACAACTGTATTCTCTACAGGTAAAAGTAGCTATTGCGGGAATATTGCTCTTAGAGTTGATGATGTACAGTACGACACACTAGGAGGACTGCTGATGCTCGTGATGAACGTGTATGAGAAAATACTAGATAAATTATAGTTGGCTGGCATTTGAGGTCCTTGCCAAATGGCTTGAAGGGGTAACGGGGAGTGGGACTCCCTCACCACACAGTTCCTGGTTGTTCTTCCCTTTGGTCCTTGAAAGTGTTACAAGAACTGGATGGGAAAGCTGGAAAGTTCAGAGATCCTAGAAAAGCGAGAAGCCAAGTTAGTTGTCAAACAGTGTGTTTTCTTTTTTTATTATTCCTGAAGAGAGGAGTGGCACTTACCACGAGGGAAATATCAGTTCCAGTTCTCTTGTCCACTGTGGAAAAAGAGAAAATGAAAATCTACTTAGTTTCAGAAAAGTCAAAATAAAATTACATTAGAAGGAGACTTTTTCTCAGTTGGTCATAACTACACACAATTTGGAGAGTGTCTAGAGTAATAAATAGGCTGTCTTCCTCTTAACTCCATCATGAGGAACTTCTTGAGTCCCGGCATTTGAATGTACATCGTCTCTTGAAAGAGACAACAGCGATGGATGAAGGATGAAGAAAACAAGAAAAAATAGAAAGAAGAAAAAAAATGTCCTGGGTGAAATCAGACTGATGATGATTAAATGGCTGGTGATTCTCAGATGGTTTTAGTTGTTTGTTAACGTTGTTAGATGAGGGTTAGTGCAAAGTTATACCTGACATAGCTTCACATCAGTACCTCATCGACGAGTTCCTTTTGGGTCACCAGTCGGCGTAGCTCGGTGGAGCAGAGGCCCGAGGGAACCGGGTCAGGGTGTCACAATAGGGAGAGCTACACACACACACACATAACCATATATATATATATATATATACACACACACATGGGGAATTCTTTAAAAAGTCAAAGTCTGTTGAAAAATGTCGCAAATGTCTGCAGACTCTCTCAAAATACCCCTCCGCCAATTAACACCGCGGCATGCATGCAAGCAGAGGCACTGCTCGTACCTGACCACAGCGAGGTCTCCGTGGATATCGCACACTTGTTCACCATGATTACCTGTATTACCCATACTGCAACACAAGAGCGAGGTTGGACAGGTGAGAAAGAGAATGGGAAGACTCCGCTGAAAGCAACAAGGATGGAGTGATCCTCGGTATTAAAGTCGAAAAAGAGGAGGAAGACGCAGGAGAAGATGATGAGATGAAGATCCATGCAAAGAGAGGAAGACCATGCTTGTAATGTCAGATTTGCGATAAAAAAAAAAAGGTGCAAGAAAGATGTGACGGGATCCAAAAATCGAAGTATCCCATACCAAACAGGCAATGGGCACGTGGAAGAGGGCGAAAAGACGTGTGAATAGCAGAAAAAACATCAAAGTGCAACAAGCCACGGGTAAGAGGTCCTGGAGAGAGAGCGGAAATAACACGAGGAGAAAATATGAGGAGAATCAAAGGAATAACGACAGAGAGAAGGAAAGATGAGGATTAATTCATTATTTTTTAATCTACAGAGAAGATTCAGACTACGAGCAAAACTAACATCATTTCTGTCTGTGGCTGTATGTACAAAATGTGAGCGTGTGTTTGGACTCACTCTTCAAAGACGTCCTCTGTGTCCATCCTCCTGTAATACTTGGCCAGTTTGATGGAGAAGATGATACTGGGAATCAGGAGGATACAGCAGCCTCCCAGTCCAAACCAGAATGTGTTCTGAAAAACACGTTGACAAGTCATCTTTATCCAGTCAACCTTTGATTCATTCCTGTCGCACTCAATTCAACTTTAATATGTTTCAAAGATTAGTCGATGAATTGATTCATCATTTAAATGGTCGAAGATGTTTTCAGATCCTTCATAGTAGTCAGTAGAAAGTGAAAGCAATAATAGAAATAACACACAGTAGTATTTTGAGTAGTTTTACTTACTCAATGCGTGTTTTTTATGCTAAATCAGTGAAGTAACTAGTAGAGTGCCTACAATACTCAAATAATAGTGGTGCAGTAAGAAAGTACTATATTAGTATACTATACTACAAAGTGGTAATTGTACAGTATTCAAATGTAAGTGTTGTTACTTTCCACCATTGTTCATATTTTTTATTTTGGTTTAGTGTTGGTCACAAAAACAAAGCAATATAAAGATTTAAAGAAGGACTCATTTGGCACTTTTCACAATTGTATCGACTTAAAAAGATGAATTGATAATCGTTAGTTGCAGCCCTACGGATTTCACATAAAGGCACACGCACATGGATGCACAAGAAATGTACACGTCACCAGTCACAAATAGGACAGAACATATGAATATAAACTCGTACACACATGCAGCACATACAGAGGCTCCAGGCACTGCTGGAGCGCTGATGTATAAAACAAATGTTTATATTTATATTGACCACAGTCTGTGACTTGTTTGAGCTCTCATTTAACTCTCACAAACACACACGATATGTAGCTGATATGGAAATAAAAAAACTTTACAACTCCTCGGGGTAGGAGTGAAAACAGAGAGGAATCTATGTGTATGTTACTCCCCCTCCTGCCTCCAAACAGACCCTATCTCATCTCAGTGTGTGTGAGCGAGTGTGTCGGAGACCTGAGAAAAAAACTGTTCCCGTACGTGAGGCCCGAATGGCTCCACAGTCTTCATCACTCCCAAAAACCCAGAGCTCCCTCAAACCGTCAAAGAGCCGTTTATGTTTCTAGTTGAAATCCAAATACATGTGGGCGAACATGTACTGTACATACAGCTGTGCAATGAATCAGTGCACACACACACACACACACACGCACGCACACACACACACACACACACACACACACACACACACACACACACACACATACAGATAACCACAGTGTTCTGGTGCCTTACCACTGAGTCGACTACGAAGCTGCACGCTACTATCTCCATGCTGTCCACAATGTTACTGATGGGTTTACACTGGGCCACCTCTGAAGTCAACTGTAGGGGGGAAATACACCAGAAAACCCAAAGTATAGATTACAGTGCACGCATGAATGACGTCAAACGTAAAACCATAACTTGATGAGTATGGTGTAGCAGTGGAAGATGATCTCTCCTCAAGCTTCTTATTATAGACGTTACATTTAAATCAAAGTGGCTTCTTGGACTGTTTAAATAATCTGGTTACAATCAGAGAACTTCTAAAGCTCCGGTGATTTACTTAACATCCGAGCCCTGTTTCAACTTGACATTAACATGCGTCTTGGGTGATCCGATCACACGTGGACAGCTCTAAATACGTCGGTTCACAACTGGCATTTGCATGCGTCTCCAGATGCGTCTCAAGTGACCACTTGGGATCGCTTCTCCACTCTATACGCAAATAAAGACGTGCATCTTTTCCGTTTGCTAAAACCAAATACATTGTTGTTTTTAAATGACGGGAGGCAGCAATCCACTTCCCTGGCTAGTCTAGAAATCAAAACCATACAGACTGGGTCTATTTATTTTGGGTTCCAGGCAAAACAAATTTTTTTTCTGGTTATTCTGACCCACAATCCTCTGTGCAGCAGGTATATGAGCAAGAGGGTCACAATTCAAGGTGCCATGTTATGTGGAAGTAGTGTGTCCCAATTGAATGCATACTGCATGCAACATAACGCCCTTTGTAAGGGCAGCTGCTGTACTTACTTAAAGTAAAAAGAAAAAGTATGCGATTTAGAACGCAGCTTACAAAAGGTGTGTTGTGAAATGGGTCCCGGACCACATCGATGTGAATCAGACAGGGTGACTTGGATTTAGGACTTTTCCTTTATTTGACTTGTATGACTGGTGTCATTGTGTCACAAGATTCATGAAATCCTACTTCCCATGTCTTAGCATTTTTAACACTTTTGAAAACATTTGTATACCACTTATGTCCTTTACGACTTTTTAAGGAACTGTGAGAACTCTGTCAGATCACAATGCGCCTTGGTGGTAATTTACACTTGTATTTAGCGCTGTCCACTTGTGATCCGACCGCCCCAAAACACATTTTAAACTAACTGTTAACAGGGTCCTGGTTGACTCTTAAGAGTGCAGCTCGATTGCTGATAGTTTTACTGTTCTCTCACTATAATCAAGTATAAATCCAACACTAACGGAACACTTTTACCTTGGGTTTCAATTTGCACCGTACAATTACACTCTTCCCTTCTGCTAACAAAGTCTCTCCTGTGAATTATCAACCTGTAAACTTTAAAAGGAGACTATACAACATAGACAACTGGTGGTATACTCACCGAGTTCTTTACCCATTCTGTATACTGTTTGAAGTATCCCACCAAGCTCTGTGTGTAGCCTTTTGTTTCCTAGAGAGGAACAAACAGTCATTTGCTGAAACATGTCAGCAAATGTGTGATGGCAGTCTGTTGAGGGTTAATGTGGATACGGTAAGATAAAATATTGAATAAGTTGTTCTTATAGTGCTGTTTCGACTCAGGTCTATCAAACTTGTGTTGTAATACAAGAAGTTACTGTTGTGTGGGAGCTGAGGAACTGATGAAAACAAGTTTTTAGATGAATATCGCTGTCTAATATCTGATTGACCGTTTTGAAGCAACAAATGTGGCAATAAATAAATAAAGATGTCTCCACGTGAGCACAGTTACATATCACTCATATAATGCAGTTTGTTGTAATTATCTTTTTAATACCTGTTTCACCACATGGGAGGCGTTATGAGTGATGAGGTACTCTGCTGCATCGATGGCACTCAGGATATTCGTAACCTTGACCTAAAAGACACAGACAGAGAACGAGATTCATTTGCACTTATGAGACAATTAAGCAAGTTAGTGTGAATAGTTTGTTTATGTTCAGACGACAATACAGAAGTTAATAGTATGTTTCCTTCATGGTTTGATAAGTAGACGTCATTGCCTGTGTGCTAATACAGTAAATGATTATATATATTATTTACAACATGTAATGGTAATATAATGATCTGTAATATCGGTAAAGCTAGTGTTTGTTTCCTCACCGGCAGGTCGCTGGACATCCTCTGCAGCTGCTTGATACTCTGGCTCAGTGTACTCTGTGTGAGGAGACAAGAACACAAACTGTCACCAAACAAACCATAACTGCGTCTCTAAATGACCCATTAACAAAAAAACGCCATCACGTCACATCACCGCTGTCACAACATTAACAACATGAACAACACTCCTATGACAACACACGCAACATGAACACTGTCATGTTGCGATATATTAACAGTGGCTTACCCGCGCTTTGACATATTTCTGTTACCATTTACCGAACAAAAAGGAAGAAGAGAGAAAATAAGTAAAGAGAGCGGCTAACAAAAAAAAAGATTATACTTCCATTTGGTTTGTTCTTAAACTTGTGATTTTTATGTTATCTATCCTAATAATTTGTTTGTTATAGTTTGCCAGAACTGAGAAATAAGGTACATTGCTGTTGTTGCATATTATCTGAAATTTTCTTTAGCAGCTGTTACCATAAGCCTTAAAAAACTGAGAACTTTACAAATGTTAACACAAGATGGTTCCTGCTAAGTCGAGTCTCATAAAGGAGTATACTGTATGTTTATTTACTTTGTCAGTAGAAGGAAGGTGTTGTTTGGACATAGGAGCGGATCTGTGTGTATTTGCTTGTGCATGTGTATGAAGTTTAAGTGTTTAATGTGCTTGATGAGAGAGGTGATTACCATTGCTTGCTCCATGGGAACCACATGTTCTCTGTGAATCTGTCTGATACTGCTGGCGTGTCCTTTCAGTGCGTTCTCCAGAGCACCACGTGGCTGTAAACACACACACACACGCAAACACACAAAGAGCAGAGGATGCAGCAGTTTGTTGCAGTTAAATCTTGAGGATAATCAGGTAATGACTATCAATTAAATTATTTATTATTCCTTCCTGCTTTAGAAATACAAGCACACACTAATCCTTCTGTGGTATGTCCCGTGTGCCCTTAAATGGCATAGTTCCTGTACTATGCACGATGCATGTGCCATAAATGTGTGTGTTCAGAGTGAATGGGCAGCTTGTTCAGACCAACTCAGCATGAAGCGAAATTATTTTCCAGAGAGGCTGTCCAACTCTATATTTGGGTTTGTTAGTTTAAGAACATTTCTTTAACATGTCAAGATTAAATCAAGATTCAAAAACAAATGAAATAGACGTTAAAATCTCTAAAGCCAACTCCCTGGGTCCAAATATTTTCACAAGCACTCGAGCATCATAAGTTAAACTAGATGTGACAGATCACTGCAGCTGACAAATATAAACACTGATTATACCTCATCTTCGTCACTCTAAGCAATGTGTATTATGTGTGTAAAACATCACTGCTGTCACACTTCTTCATCATTTTTGCATTTGAATGATAAAAGCAGCATCATGCCGTTGCTGTAATTTGTTGGTGAGATAATAATGAGACTCACCGTTTGGTCGGCCTGAGCCTCCAGGTCAGTCGAGAAGGAGAGGAGATCCACCAGAGTGACTCCCTTAGTGACCTAAAACAAAAAACAAAGGATCATACAGTTTTAAAATCCCTGCTTCAGTCTGGAGATGCACAATGTGAATAAGAAGTATTTGCCCAAAATTACATTATTTTTTAAAATCATGTATATTCACAAAAAATTGAGCTGGTAACCTTTTGTATTTGTATCCTTAAATAAGATTAGTTGATCAAATATTATTTCAAATTTTATTTCATATTACAACAGCTGTACTCATGTTTAGTTTATTAAAATAACACAAAAACAATCAGATAAAAGGAGAACAACACTAACTTTTTGTCAACGGACATTACATTAACTTACATTAAAGTCCTGGAGGCTTAGCCTGACTCAATGTCCACATATGGCAGAAAAGGTACTGCAGACACACAGACACACAGATTACCTCAGCCAGGTAGGCTTCATAGTCGATATTTCCAACTCCAGAGTTGGCAAAGTTGATGAGGCTGTCTCTGCCGGCCTGCTCAAGCAGCGTGATGTCGTGCAAGTCGACCTGCACACTCTCAAACACTTTGGCCAGATCCCTGTTGTACTGTTTGAACCACACATTCATACGGATAAGTTACCATTCACACAGACTTTAACACAGACTTTTATCAGCATTTCCTACTCAGTAAACGGACACTCACCACAGTTCTGTTGAGGAAGGAGTTGATGTTGAACATGGTCTCCAGTTGCAGAGAATGGTACAGACCGTTGTTCTCATAGCAGTCCCTACAAAGACAAAATACAAACATTTGAGTCAAAATTGGAAAAAATTGGAAAATGTAATTTGCGGCACAAACATTATATATTTTTCTTTTACTTTGAGGCACAATATGCAGCTCATTAACCTTATTTATCTTGTTTAATTTTTATTTTTTATTTTCACTTTCTGTCACAAGACACACTGTAAATTGCAGTAAACAATGAGCTTTAATTACATTATGTACAGTATTAGCTGTTGGCATGTTACCTGTACATGCTTCCCAAAGTCAAGTCAATGTTGGGATTCTGAAACAGCATCCCTGGAAGGAAGTTCTTCTTGGCAGGATGAACCAGGAATGGTGTGTCTATGATCTACATGCACACACACACACACACACACACACACACACAAAGACCACCGCGTTGTTCGTTATTAAACACAATCCCGCTCAGATTAAATGCTCTCTAAAGTAACACAGAGAAAGGCAGAGGGGAGAGTCAAAATAAGACGATTCGGGAAAGAAGTTTGTTTTTAACACCTTGAACAGCTGTCGGTTAGCGAGCGGTTCGCACATCATCTTCTCCACGTTGCCACCAACAACAAACAAGGTGGTCACGATGCCCATCAGCACCCAGACGAAGATGAAAGAGAAGCCCACCCCACTGAAAGAGCCAGAGGCAGAGCATGTGAAACATAATCACACAGAAACATCAGTAGGTATCTGCTAAGAATAACTGTTTACTGGCAGAATGCATCATTCATCCAGGGCAAAGCTGCAAAAATGGTCAATTATGGGACAAAAGGGTGAACGAAACTGAACTTTTGTCACATTTGATCACATGTCTATAGAGAGCAAACAAATGTTCTACAGTGCAAACATCTACTGTTTGTCACTTCAAATTAGCTGAGCATTAAATTAATAATCTCAAAGATTTTAACTTAGTCACCATCCATCACCGAATGAGGTAACAGTATGGTGATTAAGCCTATGGCCCTCTGATGAAAGCCCTTGCAGTATTAAACAGTGGTCTTAGTAACATACGCCATGAGCAGGTTGCCGCCGGTGTTCGACAGGCAGCCTCGTGTTGTTGGTGTAGCTTGCTTATCGTAGCCACAGGTGCCACACAGCAGCCCCAGGAAGTTGAAGGCCAGGACCAGGACGACCATGCAGAGCACTGCCACACAGCCGACCCACCTGCGGCACAGACACATACAGACACACACTTAGTGCTGTCGTTTGCGAGGACACTGCATTGATTAACATCAATTTACAATTTACCCTCACCATAACCGTGTCATAATTCTGACTTTAGAAAATACATATTTTTCCTCTTACCAGTAGTGCTATTTATCAATCCAGACTGTTTTGGCGTGAGTTGTTTAGTTTTGGAGGTATTGGCTCATATATTGGATATGGATATGGATTGCAATATGCTATTGACAAGCCAAACCACCACACCGCTATGTCCACGTTTTTCTTTTTTAAATTCTTTACAATGGAAGCGCCATTCATTAACACTACGCTACAAACGCCAGCAGCGGGCCAAGATGCCGAGCGTCAGCTCTGCGCGTTCGTTTTTTTCTGGTTGCAGAGAATTGAAAAATGTTCAACTTTGGGTAAAACACTGCGCTTGTCACATTGTCATCGTACCCAACCGTCCAATTACAATGGAGGAGGTGGGGCAATTATCTCAAAGACCAACCGTCACATTGAAGGAGGCCAGATTCTTCCCCAGATGGGAAGTTTGTCCCCATAATGTGACAGGTTTGTGTTCCCACAACCTGATTGATACAAGTATACAGACAAACAGACATGCACAAACCTGTAGAAGTCCATTTGGTCAATCTGTGGGTAATAGGACTCTATCGTTTTCTGTCCATCGCTGAGGAAAATGGTGAAATTGACCAGAGAAGGTTCCACTGGGAACATCTTTGAAAAGCTGTTGATCTCTATGCCAATCTTATCCAGCATACCTTTCACTCCTATACACACAAACAAACAATATCAATTAGAAGGCCTGTCAGTACAAAGGTGACAACATTGAGAAAAGGTGTCTCACAGAAAGTGAAAAGGGACAAAGAAGGACTTACGAGGAAGAGCTGTGGTTTCATCATTCACAAGGTGAAGGCGAGAGAAGAAAAAATACGAAAGTGAAATACTACAATCAGACTTAATCTCATTTCATTTGTAAAGAAGGGAAAGCACTGTATTTGTTCGGCGAACTAAATAAACATACATACAGTACAGTGTATACAGTGTATACATACGTATACTGTATACATACATACATACACACTTCTTTACCTGAGACAATGTTTTTAGTTTGTTCTTTAACCAGATTTGGTGTATCATTAAAGGATGAGTAACCCTGGAGGTGGAAAGGAAGAGAGAAAGGATGATTAAGAAACATATATATCCATTTCTAGGGTGTATTTCGTAAGAATATGAAAAAGAGAGTGACAACAATGACCTTTTGTACAATGTTGCTGAGGTCCGTTTTCAGGACTGTTTTGACATTTTCCAAGGCACGAGTGACGTCTGGCAGCTGACAGACAAAGAGAAAAAGAGTGAAGATTAGTAAATATGGCAACTAAAATGTTTTTTTTCCCATTTATTTCAAGGTTTTCATTCTAATCTCATGTGTCAGATAATTCCTCAGTACCGTGGAGAAGTCAGCGTTGATTCCCAGCTGTGACAGCGTGGAGCGGATGGTGTTACAGGTGTGAGACACAGCTCCATTAGTGCAGGCAGGGTCTGACAAGGTGTTGGACAGAGAGGCACGCTCCCCCGACAGACTGGCCTGAAGCATCCCCGTCCCCTCCTGGAGAACCTCCAGGGAGGAGTTGACATTCTCTAGGGCCTCTTTGGTCTCCCGCATGGCTACAGGGGAGAGAGAGGAAGAGTGCAATTTAATCAAAAATTGGTACTACACTTTCAGTAAAATAATCTACAACGGTGTGTTATTTTGTATTGTCAAACTGGTGAGCCTCATACATTTTATTTTAACACATATTCACAATCCACGCAACCACCACAGAACTACCCAGATTACAACAATAACCAAAATACCACGACACCACAAAAAACACGATAGGAGACGTTCTACAGGGCACAGCAGTGGTTCAGATCAGCAGATCAGCTCTGATTACCTTTGATGGCATTCTCAACTTTTGCTTTAGATAAAAGGAAATCAAAGAGGAAAAATGGAAAGTAAAACATGGTGAGGATGTGCCCTTAAAAGACACAACAGGAGTCTGTAGTAATGAAACCACATGAGAGGAAACTGCACATAAAAACAAATCCTGTAGCATCACACAAAAAGTGTGGGGACAATTCACAAAGATAATATATTTATACATAGATATATGTTGCAATGGGGTCGCAATTTCATTTTCAGTTCAGCAAAATAAGGAATACTTTACAATTTCAGTTCAAAGTAACATTCAACATGATAACAGTGTATTATTTTGCAGTTTTGTTTGACGTGTTCAGAGGTTTCTGAGCATTTTAAATAACAGAAAACATGAAGAGACTTTTACATTCGAACAAAAATAGTTCTTGGCTGAAGAGATTTATCCTTGAATTTCAAAATCAATATCAACAATTAGATGTTTCAGCAGCAGCAGCATCAGCACTGCATCGTGATACTACGTCTCCACTGCTTGAAGTGAACAGGTGGTCGTATGAAAAGCTCATACAGAGTGTGTGTGTGTGTTACCTCCTGCCATACGCAGCGCAGTGTCCAGTGAGGGAACCACCTCTTTCTCCAGCTGACTGTGGATCCTCCCACCCAGCAAAGGTCCAATGTCTGTCCGGAAACACGGGAAGATCAGACGGTTTATGACAACATGACAGTTATATATTGCTACTGTAGGTAAACACGGGGAGACACAGGCAAACAACGAGAGGGACATTAAACAAATAAAGTATGTAAACAGTCTGAATTCAACTTACTGTCCAGGTCTGATAGGACTTTGTTCTTTGCTGTGGTGTACTGGGCTGTCAGGTAATCAATTTGCTGCAACAGAAGACACACATTAAGCATTCAAACATGAATTATTGTGTATGTGTCTTTTAAATGGGAATGCATGTGCGTGTGTGTGTGTGTGTGTGTGTGTGTGTGAGAGAGGGCATACAGCAGGTGTGTTGTTAGCAAACGTCTTCAGGTCTCTCATGTTGGTGTTGATGAGCCGCCGTGTGCTCTTAATCTGTGTGCTGACATTATGGTTGGCAGCATAGGCAATGAGCACTCCCAGACTGAAACACAAGCACACACACACACAGGATCAGTGAAGTAAAGACAGTGAGCAGTACTGACCAGCAGAGGGCAGCATGGCTACATTAAGGTGTAGTTCTGCTCCATGGGCTTCAAAAGTCACTGTTGGAGAATTCAGAGAGATGTGACCGACCTGCAAAGACGCATTTCTCTATTTCTATTATACATCTCAATCTGAAATGTGGATTTCAAAGAAGCAAGTCTGTCTTTCTCTCCCTGTCTCTCTCTCTGCTTATCCTTTCAGAACTTATCACATGAATGGAGGGTAATCAGGTCATTATAAACAGCTCACATGTTTGATCAAAAATATTTTAAGACTTTCTTTGTCCTGACTGTTGCAATGAAACAATTTGGGAAATACCTACATGATTTACAGCTATACAAATAAACATATTTTAGCCTATTTTTGAAAATAAACATCTCAATCTCCTGCAAGCTTAGAATAATTGTGTGGTGCATTGTCCACTATTTCTCTACAATCCATCTCCTTCATGATTAGTAAACATTTAACAAGGAAAATTGATTAAAATGGATATTGACTTATCTCAAGTTTATTAACGTTACGAGGTCTGTTGTAATATACTGTAGCAAACTTACTGTAATAAATTAAGAAAGCAGGACGGATAATGCTGCGATAATTCACTGTTTAGAAAACAACAAAGAGTGATGAAGTCTGACGCGGTGCTCAGCTGATTCTTTTTCTTTTGAAGGGATTTCAATTACCTGCCAGATAACAAATCTCTTTCCCTCTGCTGAGCCTTGAGCAAATATTTGACTCAATGTTGACAGAAGGAGCAACAGAAAGAATCTTCTGTGTGAGAGATGGTACAAGAATCATGATAACAAACCCTGAGATAATATCTCCAAATGGCCACAAACTGCTTCATGTACTCATATATGCATGTTTTGTCTTTGTGTGTGCGTGAGCATGCGTGTTTGTGATGTGAAAGCACTCATTCAGACAGAGAGGCCTCTCACAGTCAGCCAAGTGATATCAGTGACACCTAACTGTCCTGCTCAGTTTGGATTGTGTTTCTCCTACACTGCAGGTTAACGGCACAGAAGTCCCAGTCTGAATGTGAGCAGTTTTGTGAAAGTGAAACTTCACGGATTTTACCCATCAAACTTCTGTTTACAGGTCTGATGGAGTACTACTGCATATGTGAGAAAGAAAAGTTGTGTAAAGCCTTTTGTGGCTTCAAAATCTGATAAACTGCCTCGAGTGATGTCACTGGGGTTGTTAGCCCGCTTGTCATCTCTTCTCGAAGCTACATTATACGAGTTCAACGCTAAATCGGTGGAGAACTCTTTTGAGAACCCACATACAAATACACATGAGCATGCAAAAACTGTGCAACCAAAAGGAGTTTTTGCACAATTTGTGTTTGTGTCAATAATTTCACAATTAACTTTTTATTACTTTTGATCTGGTATCACTGATTAATGAGAAATGTCAGTTCATTTTTATAAAGCTCATTGTAGGGACATTTGTTGTCAATTGTAGCGTTATCGTCTTTACTACAAATTGCACCGGTGTGGCAGGAAATAAAGGAGAGAAGGATGCAACACAGGTCTCTGGCCAGACTCGAACCAGGGATCTATGTTGTGGTTCATAGTCGTCAAATTCAGAAAACATTTGTGTACTGGTTGCTTTGGGATCTACGACTTCAAGTTTAGCAAGACATGTTTCCCTTTTTGTTGAAAATATATGCAAGTTGAGGCCTAATATTTAAATACTTTTACCAGTACCCAGCTCAGTATATCCAAAATCCACTTTCCAACAACTCATCAGAATCTAAAAACCCAGAATGCACACAGTGAGGACAGAATCACTGTCATAATACCTTAATCTCTCTCATGAAAAGAGAAAAATAATCCTCATAGTGTTGATAAACAAGATGATATGACAAAGGCTGAAAGGAGCGACTCACACAATGAAGATGGAGGTGGCGATGAGCGACGCGGTGTAGAAACCTCTCTGGCAGTCGATGTTCTTTCTCTGTCTCTGGTGCATCTCCCCTCCGCAGTTCTCACAGCATCGACACACACAGAAACACATGCCGATGATGGGGGTGAGGATCAAAAAGGTGACACCGATGGTCGCACATATGAGGAATCCGACTTCGTAGTGGATCATCTGCAGGAGGAGGAGATTCATACAATCACCGTTCTCCCTCACTGAATCATTTGTATGACATTGTAGTGTGTATTAGGGGAACACAATGTTATGAGGAGTTTACCTGTAGTAACAGGACCACATTTTCTGGCTGTGACCCCAAAGCACGTGCACACACACGCACACACACACACACACACACAGGGAAAGGAAGACAAACAAAACAAGGTCAGTGTGACAGCCAAGAGTTTAAGAGGCAACAAAACTCCAATTTCTAAAGAGGGAATTGAAGGCAACTTCATGAGTCAAGGTAGAAAAAAAGATGAAAAAAGAGTCAAATTAAATTTCTATACTTCGAAGGTGCATTTTTTAGAATCTGCAAGAACAAAAAGTATCAAATCAACAATTACATTTATCAATCAAATATCCAAACACTGCTTAACATCACGATTGAGTTCATCTCCATTATAGCTTAAATCAAACGTACCTTTCTCCATTCTTCTATTTTGATTCCTCCCATGTTTTGTTGAATGACTTTAATAATCAGATCTGAAAAACAAATAGAACAGAAAGGTCGACACGTAAATCTCTCAATCTGCAGAAATGTAATTATAATCACTTGCACAACAGTGTTTTACAGGCGGTGTACGACTCATCTGCCAATATCACACACAATCAAAAACACTTCCTGTGTAACGTTTGAGAAGCTTCACTGGAGTGAAAAATCCATTTATCTGTTCATGAGCAGACAACAGAGATTATGAGGATTCATATTTTAATTTCCGAGGAAAAGTATTGCGAATGTATTTCCTCGTATATCTAACAGCTGTGTGTTTTTGCGGAAGCTGTTTGAACTGTGTAGTTTGCCAGTGAGGACTGCAGTCCGGTCCAGCTGTCTGTGTATTTATGTGGGTCAGGCATCACTAAGCCTACCTGGATGGTGAGGGACTCACCCACACTGTTACTCTGCAGGGGAACACTGATTCCTCCCACACACACGCACACACACACACACACACACACACACACACACACACACACACACTAGGGATGCACCAATCCAACATTTTTTGTCCCGATACGATACCTTGGCTTCTGGTATCGGCCAATACAGAGTACCGATCCGATATCAGTGTTTAATTAATACGCAGTATGCCTCATTGTGTGGAAGAGACTGGGTGCATTGATGCATCTCTAACACACAAACACACACACTAACAATAACACCTGTATGCATGCACACAAACACAAACTCCTTCACACTACATGGATATTTGTGCTGTACTTGAGTACAATTTTGAGATACTTGTAGTTTCCCTTTTATGCTACTTTGTACTTCTACTTCATTACATTTCAGAGGAAAATATTGCACGACTACACTTTTTAGAACGGCAAAAATAATAAACTAAGAAATTCTGATACTGATACTATTGCAGATTAAGCTACCCGGCAGTATATTAAGTACTTAAAATAGGCCCTTTTCACAGCAGCCATTTTGACATGTAATTGCATAATTATGGCCCTGTTCCATTTAGGTGGGCTGGGTATTGCCTGGTATTGTGCATGTCGGCTCACTGTAATCGCTGTGACACCAAATAGAATGGGACCTTCATCAGTTTTATCAATTACAGCTGTGTGTACCCTGCAACTACATGTCAAAGTGGCTGCTGTGAAAAGGGCCTATTAGTTAGTGATGCTTACATATCAATGCGGCAATAACTAGAATCTGAAATGGGCCAGATGATAAGTACTTATGTCGAATTTAGAAATCAAGGCTTTTACTTGAAGTCCTGAAGTAAAGACCTGAATACTTCTTCCACCTTATTGATGTGGACATACACGACACAGTATCTGAATAGTTGCATAGTTAGTGAAGGCAATATTCTCCAGTGTTTGTTATCGGTTTATCAGATCTCTCAGATCGAATGGTTGGCGCCCTGCCCCTTTCGTGCTCAGGTGCAGATATCGAAGTGATTGAAGAAATATGCCTCACACTACTTTTGTCTTTTAAGAATGAAATATTGTCGTATAGCAAGTCCTCTCAGGTTGGAACAGTAGGTGCCACTGCAAACGACAACAAGCAGATGGAGGCCAGTTTAGCATGTAAATGCTGACACAGCTGTCACACACACACACACACACACGCACACACACACACTAACACATTGTGTCTGTTGTGCCTCCTGCTTGCGCACCTGCTGACCCTCAGGTGAGGTGAGAAAGCACATGTAACTGAAAAGTGACTAGATTTGTTTTTCTCACTTCAATGTTCCAGTAAATTAGGTGAATTAAAGTACTATTACTGTCTCTTTGTATGCTATGCTGTTTTGTTCATCCTCTCACATAGGGTTGCAATTGATGTTTATTTTCATCAATTGATTTTATTGTCATTAAAATGTCAGAAAATAGTGAAGAGTGAAGTGAAACATTTCCATTATAATTCTTCTTTTTAAAAAAAGTCTGTGCTTTAACAGTAAAACTGTCTCAGAATAAGCCTTTCTGGTCAGCAAAAGGAGCTGAGATTTCGGGTATATTTTGTGACCATATGGATAATCCTCTCAGCACCATCTTCCTCTGGCTGTCTCACTTTTCTCAGAGCTGTTTTATAAAAGTGGTTCACCTGGAAGCCTCAGACTGTCATGACGGGGTGAAGACATCTCCCTCCTTCACCTCTGCAGATGAAGCATATGAGCACATCTGAGTCATGTCGATGCCACCTGTTGTTGATCGGGTACTTAGTTAGCATTAGCCACCGGGGGCAGTTAAGCTTAGACAGCTTAGTTCAGTGACCCAATATAAGAGGTAGGTACTGCAAACGAAAGGAAGAGGGCGGATAAAGAACCTGAAAGAATGAACCCACCACTGCCCACCATGTGTCTGCTGCAAGACGAGGAACCGATTTCGTATCAACACATGCATACGTTTTTTTTCATTTACATGTTTTCGGCATCTGTTGTGAGAGCTCTTGTTGTTTACTAGAGTTAAACAAGGTGAAGCACATATTGGATCCACAACAGAACACACACCCAGGTTCATACAGGCCACTGTAAGGCTAAATATGTCAACAGCGAAACATCAAACACTGCTGCAAGTTAGTTACCTTCTTACTGCAATGTGTAAATATAGAATTCCACAATCCCCTACCATGGGACGCGCTGAGAGATTACTGGAAGGTGTGAACGCAGCCTTATGTAACCTGACAACAATCTATACTATTTACATTAAAGGCCTCATTTAATGGAAACACTCTCAGCCCCACACACACACACACAAAACAGCGAAGGCATCTACGTGTTTGCATCCACTCCCCAATAAGGTTCATTGTGGATGGAAGTGTATTAGTCAATTCGATCGCTCCTGAAACAGACGAACTGCTTACTTTTGATAAGAGTCTTTTTTTGTACAGCCACAACGTCACACTTGAAATTCTTCAAGGAGTGGTGACGAGGGTTCACATACACATGTTAGTCTCTGCCAATGTGATGTAGAGTCTCTCCAGCTGTTTGGACAGGAACTGACTTTTAACCCTTTGAACGTGCTTTGGGGGAAGCAAGTTAGATCGCAGTTACGCTACTGGAGTAATGCAAGTTTCAGAGTACATTCAATGGTTGGAAAATAGCACGGAGAAAGACATTATTTTGGGATTACGCCTGCAAACTGCAGCATTATCTAGCAGTGTCTACTTGGTTCATGAGCTGTGAGCAGTTTAACCAGAGAGTGATTTTCACATCTGAGATTGTTTCAAAAAGGAATTACTCATATTCCCTCAAACTGTTTTATTGAAAAGATTTTTAGCCTAAAAAAAACACACCATGTTCTTTTTTTCTTCCTTTTTTTGTGAATTACCATGAACCCAGAGGAACCACTGCCTTAAGTTACCACGAGACAGCATATGGACAGGCATTGCATCGATTGATATTGGTTTTACATCGGGGTGACAAAGTGAGATTGTAGCTCTAAAATGTAGAAGAGCCAGGATCACTGCTTTACTACATTGTTTTTATTACAAGCCACGATGTTGTGGACTGCAGTTCAAAAGGTGCGATGACAAGGGTCACGTCAGGTTTGCCTGAAGCACAGTTATGTAAATAACTTAAATAACTGCATTACTCACTCAAGGCTATAAGTAGAGTATGTATGTTCGGGGCACCAGGAGCTATAGAAAGTTACACAGCCGCCTGTGAGCTGAAGCAAAACAACTAAGAGGATTATGTGATCTTTTTCTCTGTTTGCACTCGACACCTCATCAGGGGCTTCCCACAAGAAATCATCGTTCAAGTGAAGACACAGAAAGACGAGAGACTGAAACAACTACTTTCATTGTCGACTGATCCGTCCATCATTTCCTGAATACTAATGAAATACTGGAAGTCTAACAATATCTGCAAATATCTGAGAGGCAGAAAACAGCGATTTATTTTTTTTAAATAAATTGCTTAAAATAAATAACAATGAATCGATGTGCCTCTTGTTTCAGGTCTACAACAGACACCTAAAGTACAAGCTGTCCAGTCTCCCAATCGACAACAACACGTTGAAAGCTTGAAATAGCTTTACAACATAAAAGGAATAAAAGATGAACGGTAGCTGCAATGTCGGATGCAGATGCAGATCAAAAGCATCTAAACATGATCAACTTGACTTTTCGGAGGCAGTAATTCCTCCCTTTCCTTGCACATATTCTTATCAGACGACTCATTTGGGTTTGTGATCTGATTTAAGACATTTGCCTCCTGATCAGTCCCAGTAATTAAGGCAAACAGACAAATACCATGACTATGACCCACTTTCAGTATGTGTGTGTATGTGCGCATGCCCGTACGTGCTTACACATGTGTGTGTGTGTGTGACAATGCCATCTGTAGCAGTGTTAGCATTAGCCCTGTGGATGCTAATCCTCTAATCTACCCTGTGTGTATCAGAGAGATAAGACACGGCCTCCTCACACAGTCAATGAGTCCAAAATGCTTCTTCATCATAAAAACAACCTTCACACAGATTTATAAAGAGGGATGAGCGGGTCAGGAACCAATGATGAACCCTTCAGCAGTAACTCAGATACAAGCAGCTCTACTGGAAACCTGAAACATTAATGACATTAATAATAAAACAGGGATTTGTGGAGATGTTGCCACAGAATTATTGTGAGATCGCTCAACCACGGACAATCCAATCTTCAGACAACTCGGTGTCAGCAGTTTGAACATCAACGAGTAAATAAGGCCGGACATGAATGCAGTATGATCATTTATCATCTTTTAATTGAATCGTATCGTGATTAAATCATATATTAAGATATATTGATACACAATTATGTTGATAACAATAATCACTTTCTAACTAAAATTTCTCAGAAAATCTATATTGATTAGAATTCTGCTTGTAGTGAAATCTAAATATTGTCTTCATGTGATTACTCTGTATTTGTGTGCATGCATGTAAACATAGTCAGTGTATAATAACTGGAAATATTTATTATTTTTTTCTCTATAATTTCACTTGAAACTGTTCATTTTGCACTGAAGGTCTTAACTAAATGAGAAAATACTCAAAGTACTTTTCATTTGTCAAGTATTTAATTCACACAGAGTATTCAAAAATAGCCTTCACCAGGTATTTCATAAAGACTATTTATTTATTAAATAAAAAACATGCTATATAGTATATATATATATATATATATATATATATATAGTATATATATATAGTATATATACAGTTAAACATTTGTCTACTAATACTCATAAAAGTATGCTCCGTATGAAATTAGTTGTAAAAAGAGTTGCATAGTGATGAATGTCAAATTAAGAGGTAAAACTCAAGCAAATACTTTATTTAGTTTTTGGCTGTACACTGTATGATGACATACTAAATCAAGCTTTTGCTTAAAACTTTTTATCTGTCTTAGCAAACATGTTCAGGCAGTTCGAGTAACATAATTCAGAACAATCCTTTTTAAGTTTTTGGATTCACAGACCAACGGTTCTCTAAAGAACGGGCTTGTGCTGTATTTTCCCTCGAATAGTGAACCTCGAGGTATGTGTGTTGTGTTTTTTGCGTAAATATGTTACGTGTGAGTGTGTGACATGAGGTCCAGGTGGTCTCTACCTGCGCGTGTGTATGACAGTAATTCATAGTGGAAAGTCCCCGACAGTGGCAGCATATGGTCCAGTGGATTAAGGTATTACGCGGTGATGCAGGTGACTGAGAAAGCCTCCTCTAATCGCTGATCTGTTAATTGATTACCCAGCCAGCAGCACTAACCCTGGACACCAAAATGGCAGCAACTTAAAACCTTCAACCCTATTGCACTATGTCATCCTCCAACGTGACCACTCATAGCTGCGCATACAGAACCCAAACAAACCGCTTTGAGTTGATTATGGCTATATATATCCATTGCTGGATTTTGTTTTCTACACCAAAGAGCGTGACATTCACGATGTAGGTATTGATCAAGTGACAGACCTGATGTCACCTCAATAATGTTAAAGCATGGGCCCCATGAGAGGATCATTCATAAGATATATGATAGCTATTGATCCCAATAATCTGCTCATTTATGAGCCCTACAAGCCATATATCATCATGCATGCATACCCTCTGTGCACGTGCTCTTTTGATTCAGTATCATCTTAATAAGGAGAGTTTTTGGGAAGTCATGCGTTGATATTTGCAGTGTGCAAATAAGTCCTGCAACAGTCGTCTCTTTGAGGTTTTTCAGTGTTTTTTGGACTTTGTTGTTTAGTTTATGACGTAAAACAAGGTCAGTCAGAGAGTCTGTGATGCTACAGGAGAGTGGTTTCCAACCTTTGACTCGTGACCCCTCAGCACATGTCATGGTTTGGCAGGTTTATGCACAAAGAGTTACGTTTTCCTTCTCAGTGACAGTGACAGGCCCTTTTCACAGCACCCAGTTCGGCCTGTCATAGCAGCGTAAACACAGGTGTAATTAATCAAATTAATTAGGATCCCATTCTTTTCAGCATGTCACAGTCGTAACAGTGAGGCAGCATGCACAGTATAGGACCATGGTCAACCTGAATGGAACAGGGCCATAATTAATATTATTAATCACACAATGACATGTCGAAAATGCTGCTGGGAAAAGACTAGATGTGTAAATATATACGGTATAATGTTACAGTAATATACAGTTTTGTCTTTCTTGTCACTTTAATAATCGTGTTACTCCCACACACCACCCATCTTTATATTGGGACCCCTTGGGTGGGTTTCAACCTCCAGCTTGGGAACCAATTGACTAGCTTTAGGTAAAAGACTGATGGTGGACTGACAGACAGACTTATACTGGCCATAGTCTCTGCTATCACACTATCCAAAACTTGTAATAATATTAGCACCGATAAGTATTTTCAAAAATGCACTTTCATGCACGCTTGGAAACAAAGTGCCCACTTTTTGGCACTTTGTCCACACACAAACTTTCTTTTAATTAATTTGTAGGTATGTATCTTTAAATTGAATATATCCTACTATTTATTATATACTGTGTATATATCATTATTTTTCTACTGGGCACCTTGTGGCACAAAAACGCTTAATTAAATGATTTGCAGTCACAATAAAGCTAAAATTCTGAATCACATAAATTAGTGTAACACCTGTTACGGCCACAGGAACACACATAATTCACATTTAGGTTATTTTTATGGTAATTTGAGCCATCCAGAATGACTTGTGTATCCAGAGGAAAAGGTCAAGCCCTGACAGGTGTGAGAGGAATAAGACGCAGAGTGAAGATGATGGAAGGAGGGCATGAGTGGGGAGGAGGGATAATCTCACCTTTAGGAAAGGAGTTCGGTTGAATAACATAGAGAAACGCGTGGACAACGTGGAAGAGGATCCCCACGGCCCCTGGTTCGTAGTAAGCGTGGGTATCATAAACCGCCGCCGGTACAAACCCAAAATCTAGCGGTTCTACCGGTGGAGGGGACCGCTGTCTGCGGGAGTCCACGCGGGACTCCACGCGCGCCTCATCCGCCTGCTGCTCGCCGCTCGTGGACCCCCAGCAGAGCAGCAGGACGAGCCACCTTGTCCACAACATAATGGCTCAGAAAAGTCCAGCTTTGTAACAAAAATAAAAAAGTTAAAAGTCCTAGCCCCCGGTCGCGCTACAGTCTCGCGCTGGGATGGAGAGGGGATACGCGCTGGTGACGCGAGGACACCTGTCCCTCTCGGTGCTTTATCCTCGCAGGGAAAGGAAAACTTTCAAACTTAACATCCAACGCTCGAGGTTTCGAGCAGCCGTCAGCTCCTGGTTTCTCGGTACGGACTCATCGCAGACATTTTTTTTTCGACAGTTTGAAGCGGACCAATGGACGGAAGGATGCGCTCGTTGTCCCGCTGTCCTGTCCTCACTCTCACCGGCCCCGGCTGTGAGTAGCCTAATCCCGCGTGCACGTCAAAAACCCAAGAGCGCTCGTGCTCGCTGAAAGCTCGGCCGGGTGCTTCTGTGGCGCGCGACACCGTTACATGTTAGCTATACAAGCGATGGAAAGTAACTAAGTACATTCACCAAAGTACTGTTTTGAGGTACTTGAGTATTTCTTGAATATCTCCCTGTACATAACTACATGACTGTAGAAGTTATAAACAGTCAATTCTAGTCAAAATACGTTCTCAAATGACCATTCAATTTAAATATTTCTACATAATATATATATCTACTGTCACTGTCAGGTATTTTGAGACAACCGACTCCAACAATGACCAACTATCATTTGTGAAGTCTTCTGCGCATTAGAGGTGAGATAGTGTTACAGTGTATAGAGAGAATCCAACAACATAATCTCAGAGGGTGTCTGTATGTACGAATGAATGTATGAATGTATGGGAGGCAGGTGATTGCCTCTACACTCGGCAGCTGCCCTTCAGCTCTGAAGTTCATCAGATAGACAGTCAAGGCTATAGTGAAATTTTGGCAAGAAACAAAAGGTTTGAGTTCAAAAAAGGGAAAACCCAAAGTTCAGTTAAAAAGCAACACTGTAGCCAGTTAAGTCTTTGATGTATCAGCGCTCTCTTTCATCCTCTCATGCTCACAGTTACTTAACACGATACTTAATGTAAACTTGTGTGTTGACGTAATCAGGGAAATACAAGTCATGTATCCAGAAGTAGATAATTCAACAGCGTTGGACCCTGGGAAAAAAAATAAAAGTATGTGTGAATGACTGTGATGACAGAAACCCCCCAATATGTCCATTCATGGGGGAACAGTGGACTGCAGTGTTTTGCCCTCTGAACAGAGCCTGCAGTGACTCCTGCCACTGTTCCTGTTACACACACACACACACACACACACACACACACACACACACACACACA